TTTGTATATTTTATAGAGCTAGAAGTCCCTAACCTAAATAATGATCATAACAACTGACAATATTTGTTTCCATATTCTTTAACTTGCAAATAATGGCCAAAAATATATATTTGTAAATTGAAAACATGGTTGAGAACAAGAATAGGCCAGCATTGACTAACAGGTTTGGATTTGCTGCATGTGCATAAAAATATTATTGTACCCATTGATGAAACAATAAACAATTTTTCCAAAATGAAAAAACTAAATTTGGAATTTGTTATTTGACTACTTACCAACTATATGTGTTCTACTTAAGTATTCGTTAAATTAAGTTACTTATCTTAGTTGTTTTTTAAAGTTTTTAAAAAATAATTAATTGGCACTATTACCACTATGATTATTTGTTTTTTTTTTATACAGAATTCAGACTACAGGTACAATTTTAATATAAGAACTATTTGTGTTGTTATTATTAATACTTATTTTATATGCAATAGGTTTTTAATATATTTATTAAATAAATATTTAATTCAATTGGTACTTGTATTTTTGTTTATTCACTCTAATAAGCAACAGGAACATGAACGGTATGTAATGAACCATTGGCGTACCCAGGAATTTTTTATGGGGGTCCAACATTTTTATTTTATCTTGTTCTCTAATTATAATTATAATTTAATTCAATACCAACAAATTACTGTTAATAACTATAGTAATAGTCACAATAGTTATATACATCACACATATTCTGCACAACGGTTTACTATAATAGGTACCTAGGTACTATAATTTGAAATCAATTTTAATTTGATAGTAAAATGTTATAAAAAAATACATTATTTAATTTACAGTATTAAATAATATTAAAAAATCAATATAAATTAAACATGGTTTATACATTATAGGTATATTATATAATCTATAAACTTTGTATATTGAAGATAATGGGAAATTAAAATACACTATATATCTACTATTTACTATTAAACCATTGAGTATGTAGAAATTTCAATGAGGGGTGCGTACTCGAACTCCCCCTCCTCACTTTGAGTACGCCACTGTAATGAACTGTAAATTATTTTTAAGTTTTTATTGAAGAATAATTAGTCTCGCCTCTCCCTCCCTATGGCCTCAACTCAAACACGCCCTTGTTTAATACTTATTTTACCTTCTTGCCACGAAATAATCTGCACGTTCCCATCTCAAATAAGTTTTGTTATTATATAAGTATATACATGTATACCTATGCTTAAGGGATGGCGACCCATATAGTACTTATGATAGTACTTATCAATAATAATAATCATAATAATAATAAAACGTGGATTCCTTTTAGTGAACATATAAATGAAAAATTCAAAGGAAAATAGTGTATAGCACTACCTACATTTTGGTGTTATATATATATTATACGTATATAATATAATACATATACATATATATATATCTTCATCTATTTATACTTAAGTACGTATAATTCTGCGAAGTTACACACGGCTAAAATTTCGCAGTATATTTTATTTGTATATACTTGTGTGTGCATTGATACTGTGTATAGAATGTAAAATGTTGTAGAAAGACTGGATTTACACAGAATTTAAATTAATATTAGAAGGAGACGCTGTTTAAGACTAAAGTTTAATTATTTTTAATTCTGAGAATTTTTATTATGAAATTATATCTAAGATTCGGTGGCGTATCCAGGAACTTTATATCTGGAGGGGGGTTCAGCATATTTAAATATATTTAACCTTATCACTATCATTTTGACTACTATTTGTATTGATCTCGATATTTTTAAGTCTGGTTGACATTAGTTTTTTAACTCGGGTAAAAAAAAATAATTAATTTTTCTAGTCTGCTTATTTGTTAGAGAATTTGCCTATAATAATAATAACAATTTAGGAACTAGGAACTAATATAGGAACATAAATATTAGATATTAGAATATTTTCTGTCCAATCACTTAGGTATACTAAAAATTAAATTTTAAAAATATCTTACTACACTGGAATGTTTAGACGTCTTAGAATGATGTCAAATTAAAATGAAACAAATATAATTGAATACAAATGTTAAATATAATAGAATAAACGAGTAGTAAATAAAACAGAGTATGTCGCTCGAAAGATGTTACATCCCCCGAAGGAGCAAATTCTCCACCCGTTCTGCTGTCGTCACGCGGAGTCATCAGGCGTACACCTGCACATAGCCTCGACGTGTGTCTGGGTGCGGCTACGGTCGGCCTATTTCAAACTCCTATCGTTCTCCAGCGAAGACCGGCACCATTACGAGTCCGACCTCAAAGGCGCGCGCCCCCCGTTCTCGGGCACCGTCCAGTTAAAAATAGTGGGACATCCCAAGATCCCGTGGCATAAGTTGTACAGCTGGTTTTTCAACTGCCGGCACTCACTCGGCCGCGCAGCGTTTGAATGGCCGCCGTCAGTACGACTCGGTACGGGGTTGGTAGCCGTCGGTTAGACGCCCGAAGTTCCAAGCGACTGCCTCTCGGGGCGACCCGACTAGTAAGTAAAACAGTGAGACACCAAAGGGCAACGACTAATTATTTACTAATAACTATTAGATTTACACAATAAGGTTCTTGAATTAAATGATCGGCGAGCCGCGAATGCAATAGGTATACCCACTTTGAATTAGTTATGGGTATATTCGATTTCAGAAATCCGAATTATTTGAATTTGTCAAATCCGGATTTAAGAAATTCGGACCTCATGGATCATCCGAACTATCCGGATTATTTAATTCAATTTTGCTGTTCAATTACTCATTTTTATATTTATATAAATTTAACTTATCTTCAGAAAATCTCATTCAATAACCATTCTAAGGTTATGCAGTTAAGATAAGTTAATTGGGTATTCAGTTATGATATCACTGTAAATCATAGAGGTATAAAGTAAACTCGACTATTTAGTAAATTATAATTTTGTTAACTAATAATACATTATAAAAACTGTTAAAATCATGATAAGTAAATTTAAATTTATAAAATATAATATTAATTTTTTGTTACAATAAAATAAAATAATTTATTTTACTAGAAATTAAAAATAATTATAAGTTATATAAAAAGCAAATTCATAAATCCGAATAATCCGGATACTTCGGCAAATCCGGATAAGAATTTGATTCAAATCCGGTTTTGAATATCTGGATAATTCAGATATTCGGATTTCATGCCCATCCCTATTTTGAATACAGACAATGATATCGCTTTTATCTCAGTTATCGGGACCAGACGACCGATTTAGAATCAACCGTTGTAGAAAACCTAAATAATATGTTCCCAAGCAAAAATTATCAATGTAGTAGTAAGTATCTAAATATGATCATAATATTATGACTTGTGTGTGTGTGTGTGTGTGTGTGTGTACAGCGTGTGTATAATACGTTTATAGTATTTATACAAACTATTAATATGATTTCCAAGTCAAAACTCTAAAATATAAAAATGTTAAAGAAAAACCGTGTTCATGTAAAAGTTAATTTACCATCTCAGGTTCATGGGGGGGGGTTCTGACCCCCATAACCCCCCCATGGATACGCTACTGATAAGACCAAACGAACGGATAAAAACAAATAGCTCTTGTATGTATTTAGAGAAAATCGTAAATAATATGAACTTTGGTACTAGTTACATTATTGTATAATAACGCTGCATTTGAATGGATATCAATAACGTTGCACATCGAGTGGAAACGACGAGCTATTATTCTTTTTGGTTACGTATTTTTAGTTAATAATATGTAAACAACTTTTGTAATAAATTTAATTTTCATTCTTAACTTGGACAAGGTTAAATCGTTTATTTTCATTTCGATGAATGTTGTAAAACCTTTAGGTTTTTATATTTTCTTTCCGAGTTCGCGATTCGTTTGATATTAATTACTATGATACACTTAGCTGACAACCATTTTTTCGTTAATAAAAATTAATCACATACCAGGGTTATTCACAGGGGCCGTTTGAACATTTACATCTTACGGGGGGACAGATTAATTTGTAATGATTTAAAAAATTATTGTATTTATCTGTTAAATTATGAGTGAAAGATTTATTTGTTTTTCTTTAAATCATTACTTATTATATTATACATTTTTAATATTACCTCTCCGATGATTGTGTCGGTCTGCCTCTTGACAACCGTAGTTGACTTTTCAGATATGGAATAAGGTGATAAATTTATATTTTAAAATGATAATAACTTTTTTTTTTAATTCACTTATATTAATTTTATTTAAATTATTTATACACACATTAATACACTTATTTTAAACTTTTACAGAACGTTTTACGTTTATTTATATCTTTCTGCATAGACGATCTGCGTAGTCTTTTACACTCGCCTTTGACCGTCTATACAAAAGAATATCAAGAACGTGCGTATCCTGGTGTTTGAAAATTTTGCTCCTTATATTTAATCACCTGTATGTGTGTGTGTGTGTGTCATATTTTATCTTTAATACTTATGACTTATTCTTATATTTAATGTGTACTGAATATTATAATTATTTAACTGTACATTCAATTTTTTTAAAAATATATGAATGCTTAGGCGCATATCATTACAAATTTAAACAACCCACCTACCCAGAAAAAATTGTTCCGGCTTCATTCAATTTACATTGTAATTGAAGAAGAGATAACAATCACCGTGGTTATGAATTTATTTCGTATTATTAAATTAAAAGAGTGGAATTAAACAATTAAATTTACTACGTTTGACGCTACAAATAACACGGGGTAAACGCAGCATCTGGACGCCGCACAGTGGTCTGTATTGTAAATTAGCTTACATTAATTAATACCTTCTTAATATGAGTTAAAAAGATTATGTTAAATATCAATTCTATTAGTTTTTAACATGCTGAATCCAAATTTCTTATCAGTTTTTAAATCAACACCTAATTAGGGGTAAAAAAAGCTACTTTCCTAAATGTTCATAAAACTTGTATATTGAACATCAATTAATTTACATGTTCTAAGGGTGTATCTAATTATAATATTCATTCTGTAATCAACCCCTAGTTATGGGTAATAGGGGATGTTTTTAATTTTTAAAATTAAATTATATACATTTATCAATATTTAACATTGTAAGTAATATAACTATAAAAAAGTACGTTAACAATATATTATAGTAATGTCACTATCACATCACAATCACTGTTCAAATTTGTTTCGTCTAACTGCATTACATTCAATAACGATTTAGTTTCATTTGATAAGTCTTGTAATTTTTTTTTTTGAAGTAATCTTATGGTCGATATTAAAGGGTCAGATGATATTAATAACACATGTAAGAGGTCTTTGTTTGTGTTTATTCTTGAATTTTTTCTTGTGTGGTGTCTTCTGTACATTTTGTAATCTTTATTTCGAGATTCTTGAGCCTCCTCTGATAAATGTCCTAAAAAAAAATTTTAAATGTGCTTCATTATTCAAAAAAAAAAAATAAAAAAAGTAGAAATACTTACCTATCGGTAAAACTGCATAACGAATAACATCAGCACCGTGTATTAATATTTTATGTACGCTGGATGGCATATAAAACCAGGGATATAAGGAAATAAAAAGTTTAGCTGTTTGTACACCATACTCATCAAATGAATTTGTATCAATATCTTGGCCACTTGCCATAACCATTAGAATATTTTTAAAACGTTCAATCAGGTTTAAATTAACTCCTGTGATCTCTGCCGATTTCTCTGCATTTCTGAAAAATGTCCTAGCAGTATTTCCATCATTTGAGGTCCCGTGTTCTATAAAAATAACGATTACACCAAATAAATAGTTTTTAAGAAAAATAAAAAATTAGGTTACAAAAATGTATGATTACCTTGCAGTACCACATCAACTAATAAGCCCATCTCTGAACGAAAATTGTTCTGAATCACATTTTTCCGTGCTTTAAATATTTCTAATTAACCATGCACTGTTATTTTTATAAAAAATGTGAATATTTCTATTACATTGTATCCATTTTCGTGATAAAACTATCGTATAACTATTTAAGCCAGCATTTATTTTATTTGTGTACTCAAGCATCCAATTTTTCCCATCATACTTCTCACATAACTTTTTAAACAAAAATTTTCTAGACTGTTTGGACTGGGGATTTAGTGGTCCGTTTCCCCGTAATAAATTAAATAAATCATTGTAAGTAAAATTCTGATTTCTAAAATCACGACTACAACTCGCTAAAATAAAATAAATAAAAATAAAATATTATTATTGAAACGGCTTTTTTCCCTAAATTTTCTAACAAGATATTACACATTTGAAAAAATTATGCCAAGTTAATACACAAGTATACGTAAAAAAAATTATATTAGGTTAAACACCAAAAAGTATGTAGAATATTATAGAATAGTTTTGTAATAGTAATAATTAGTAATTTATTAGTGATACCTTTTGAAGTTCTAATAATAACAATTAACCATGATAAGTAAAACATCGTTGTGTCAACTACATCATAAAAAACATAAAAATAATATTATTAATACACTTACCTTCTGCAAAAATGTCCATACTTTAGGTTTCAAAAAGAAAAATTATAACTTAAGTACATGCACACCGCACAGATCGCTAAACGTGAAAGACAGAATAATGCGTGGTATGGCCTCGTTGATCGACATTTCTGTTCCCTAATCGTAATTTTATTGGCTTGATAAGATATAAAAGTTTCTCATAATATGAAATATTGTTTAATTAGGTAATCAGTTTTAATAATTTGATGTCAAATAATACAATAAACATACTTTTAAAAATAGGTTTTGGCAAGCTAATTTACAATACAGACCACTGCGCGCCGCGTCAAGACTCGATGTTTCATCACGTCACCGTACCTACCTCTACGATATTTAATGGAAGGACTTTTCCCGTCCAAATATATTTTTATATAAGATAAATCGCTGACGTCCAATTTTCAGTTGCACAATAATTGCGCAACAATTTCTTCTAAACCACGCTCACATATGCAACTAAACTATCGTGTCAGACTTTGATACATTGGATGTAACATGTTAATTGATTGCGATCAAATAACGATTTGTGATAAAACATTAACTAATTAGTTGGTCAGACTGAGCACATTGTCATACTTCACTACGAAAGTCACTTATGCGATTAAACTGTTGCGCAACTGAAAATTGTCCGGTAACGATTTGCCTAAAAAGTAGAGTATGATTAGTACTAAAAGTAAGTAAGTAATATAATTTGATAATAAATATGAAAAATACGTCTACGGCATTTACGATTGCGTTCAATGCATACACTTGTAAAAACATGTATAGAGAACAAAAGCAGATTTTAGCGTAGAACCTGACCGGTGAGATAGGAATCGCAGAACAACTAGGTATCTTATTTTCTCTATAAACACACACACACTCATAAACTTGGACTCACGTGTATTACATCAACCCCACTTCTATAAGGAAGAAAGGAGAACCGCTATGGCTGAAAATATTATACATACGATGTATATGTAGGCGTGACTAGGGAGTAGCAATAGGGTTAAAAACCCCCCTGTGTACAAATGTAGCACTCCTGTTCTTTTTCAGATCTATATAATCTGTAGTAATTACAATTAAACATTATTTTATTTTATTTTCAGCAATTTCAGCACCAGTATTTGGACTCTAGTTGCGCCCATGGGTGTATAGTGAAAAAACGGATAGTTGGGGAAGCACACACATTCCATTAGCAAAGTATGATGTAGCTCGACGAGAAAATCCCGTACGGTCGTAACGAACACACATACACAAACACAAATGTGCAGCAAATAAGATACGATTTTTCTGCAAGCGTTTACAAACGCGTATCAGGCGCGTGGAATGCGAAAACCGAGTCCAAAATTGTTTTAGGACGAAAAAGAGATAAATATAATTAAGACGCGACGGTGACGTAGTTATAAATGGGATGGTTGCGTGGTTTTGGTATCGCAATGAGTCGTCCGGGGGTCGGGTTTCCCAAAACGGGATGTTATCATTACTATAGCTCGTACGAGGACTCGGTACGGGGGTTGACGAATTCATGGTAGTTTCATTACGTCGCGAACGAAGAATTTTAAGATCACAAACACACCCCACAGTCTCAAATTATAATATACATATATACATAAATATATATATATATATATATAACACATACAGTTGGCGACGACGATCCGAAACTAGAAATGTTGCGGTCGACGCGCAAAACTATTAGTGCTCGGGTTATGGGATGGCGATTTTATCTACGTTACATAAAATATTAATTAATTATTCGATCGCAACGATTGTTTTTGTTGACGATGAGAAAGAAAAAGAGTGAGTGAAAGTGAGAGAGAGAGAGAGAGAAAATATTGATTTCAATTGAATAAAATTTAGAATATCCACTAACAATTTATAAAGTTAAAATAATTAAACTATTATTTTTATTATTAAAACATGTGCAATTCAAAATGTTTGATTGAAATATATATCTATTTAAGTATTTACGTAAAGAATATAGATGAATCATAAATGTAAGGCACGTCTTGTTCGTAGGATGGGCCCAGTGTCAGCTTGGTTCTGAAGGGCCCAAGTAGGATTTTATTTGGAAAGGCCCCAACCCCCATACTACAAAACTTATTTATTATATTTATATTAAATAAATCTTAAATATGTAAAATGGTCATTAAAATGTAATACATATAGATTCTATATTTGTCATTTTAAATAAAAAAAAATAAATTTAAAAATTCTCTTAATCTAAATTTACAGGTTTCAACTTTTATATAAAAAAAAAAAAAAACTATGCGCATATAAAATAAATACATTTAATATATTATATTTCTTTTGACGATTTTGCTATGTCATATATTAGTTTTATTTTATCTAAATTCAAAGTAATATCTTTTCCTATAGCCATAAGCATTAGTGGTTCTAAATGTTGTTGATCGAGTGACGATCTTAATTTTGATTTTATTACTTTAACCTTAGAAATACTCTTTTGCCGATGATTTTGCCAAGTTGATGGCAATAGAATTTTTTATTTAAAAACTTGATACAAATTTTTGTACATACCAGAATGACAAGATAGTTGGGTAACAATTTTAAAAGCACATGCTATACATTTCCAACAGGAATTAAAATTTATCAGTCAAGTTCATCTTCTGAATCAGATGTAATTACTTCATCTATAATATAACCTTAACCATCATTATCGCTCATTATGCCATGTTTTTTTGGAATAATATTAAAATAATAAGAGATAAATTGTTTCAATTCAGGTAATACAAGATCTCTATTAATATCAGATAACTTTGTTACAGTTATCAAGATATATAGGATAGGTATTCTTTAAGCTATTCAATGTATTCGTATATTTTTGGATCTAACAAAATGACTTTTGTGTAGCCGGAAGATATGAGTTATTAATTTTAATGAAAAATCTTTTGAAATAATGAGATGAAAAATTAAATATACCTAATGCAATTAGTGATGATCATAATTGGTCTTGTCTTGCGATCTCATAATACTTTTGCTGCAAGACCAAGACCAAACCAATACCGAAGCTGCAAGACCAACTCCAAAACAAGACCATCACTGCAAGATTCATACAGTCTTGTAAATTTTTTTTTCTTCGAGAACACATTAGTTATCTAAATTTAATTAACTAATAATTTATAACGAAAATAATAAGAAATTATTTGTATTATTATTAAATTTGATCATTATACGAGGAAATGGCAAATTATTGAAAAAATGATTAGGAATAATTGGAATTAATATTACACAATAACATAATATTGTTGTTCATACTTAGCAATTACTGAACATTTTTTTTTCCCAAAATCGAAGAAAACGTCGAAAGTTGTCTTGCTCATAGAATAATTTATGACTTATGTCCAAAATACACATAATTAAAAACTTTTTGTAAAAATAAAATGTGGGTTGTATCTAATAGTAAACCTGATAAGATTTACAGAAATTATTTATTATCAATATATTATATTAAAAGAAACTTAAAAATTTAGTACTACTGTACTGGACACAGGTGAATAAAAGAAGAATAAAAGTTTAATTATAAATAATACATATTATTATCATTAAACCGATATAATTATTAAGCAATTTAATATTTGGAACAAACCATACAGTTTTTATTATTACCCACATAACACAAATACAACTAATGGGTGTATAATAGATATGATTTATAGATATCCATAACATCCTTTAGATATGACTGTAAATCTATTAGATATCTACTAAATATCCAATTGGCCGCTTTTTTATTATTTGATGGATATCCATAAGAAATCAGAAATTATTGAATTAAAACATCCATTAAATATAAAATTATATCCATTAGATATAAAATATTATCCATTAGATATAAAATATTATCCATTAGATAAAAAATAATATCCATTAGATATAATATATTATCCATTAGATATTCATTAAAGTAGAATACAAATTGGAAAAAATGTTTAATAGACAAAATCTTTATTTAATAATAAACAACCACTTAAATATATACAACTTAAAATGTTGAATAATCATTCACTTATGGGCAATGAAATTTGTTCAGTGGAATCTGCACATCTTTTCTCACTAATTTTAATAGAATTAATTTATTATTTTACATTTAACAAATATTTAAGTATTTGTAACTGTAGTAAAAACTAAAAACTAATCAATTAAATTATTCATTAATTCTACTAATTACAAAATATCAATGTCTAATGAACATCCATAAAAATCTACTGTGGCTTATCTACCAGTTACTTTCTATGAATATCTAATATATATCTAATGGATGAGTTGTGTTATGTGGGTATTATTTGTTAAAGTGAACATTAAAAAAACAATAATTTAATTTTTATAAATATTATATTAGTCAATAATAAATAATTAGTAATTACCTATTGATATTTATTATAAATGTACTTGGAACTTAAAAAGATAATTATACTGATAAATTGATTCATTAAATACAAATATAAGTAAAATAATATAAACATAATATTTTAAAAGCAAAGTTACGAGTACCTATAATAAAAATTTAATTGTTTGATTGTTTTATATTATTTATATACTATATAATATATTGAATTAAAGTTTCATCTTAGAAGTCATAGCAAGAAACTTATACAGCTATAACGGGTAGATATTTAGTTCTTTTTTTTTATATTTTGTGAAAATAGCAAGAGTCTTGTAAGAGTCTTGCGCAAGACCAAGACTAAGATGTATATCCAAGACCAAGATCAAGACTGGGTCTACAAGACCAAGACTAAGATTTTGAAAGTTTTGGTCTTAGTGTTGTTTTGATCACCACTAAATGTAATCGCACACAATTAAGTGTTCATTATTTATTTGACATTAACATTTTATCTATTATAGAATAGTAGTGAAATCTACATTGTGGCCAAGTCTGGTATCTTTTAATTCATAACCTCACTGAACTCCTACATTGAAGAGCAACACTTCTCTTTTATTTGTATTGTTCAACACTTGGCCAGTTTTTGAATGAAGCATAAAAAATCATTATCGAATGTATTCATTTATGACTTACGTGGGTGATGGGAAGAAGAGAATTCAGAAAAAAGAAAAAGGTTGAGATTTCTTCTCAAAAAATACAGCGAATCATAGTAGGTAGTGGTATCTACATTGCGGCCAAGTCTAGTTTATGCCTCATTCAGAAACTGGTCAAGTGTTAAACAATACAAATAAAAGAAGAGTGTTGCTCTTTAATGTAGGAGTGCAGTGAGGTTATGAATTAAAAAATATCAGACTTGGCCACAATGTAGATTTCACTACTTTAATAGGCCGACTTTTTTGGGAAGGAATTCGGAACTTGGCCTTTTTTCACCGTTAGGTTTTTTTTTGGGATTTATATTTATCGAACTACAGCACAATTATAAAACATGACTAAGGTAATAATAAGAATGATTTACTTATTCTAACTATAGATTTAAAAATTAAAAGTTAAAATGCTTTATGGGCATGTGTTCTTCGGTAACTATTATATCCAGACGTTTCGTTGTATTTAAATATATATGAATAAAAAAAAAAAAAAGACGGGAGCCCAGGCAGCGACTGCTGCCTAACTGCTTTGGCCAGGCTGATAATGGATGGGCTGCTGCTAACTAAATGTAATTGAAATTATAGTTCGCTTCCATAACAAATTTGGCAGCCTTGGTCTATCGTGTTGAATAGGTTTAAATCTAATTACTAAATCGTGTTTTCAACGGAAAACCAGTGCCGTTTCTAAGAGGAATATTAGAACAGTGGTGTAATTTGCTAATAAACATTTTTTAGATACCTTTATAAAGCCATTATTATTTTCTCGATATTTTAAACACTTAAATTACATTATTGAATCTTAAATGAAAATGAAAACAAATTTAAGTTTTCAAATAAAATATTTATACCATTTGGCTAATACCTGTTTGGTAGATTGTTTAATTATTTGTGTGGAATGCATTGTTATTTACAAGGTTAAATTAGTATAAACAACAATATATTTACTATAATTTTTATTAAAATTTGATAAAAACAAATTTATTCTACCAGTACAATTTTGTTTACTCAACTGAGATTATTTACATACCTATTTATTTTACAAACAGTATGCATTAAGCATTGACTTAAGCCAGGCGTTCTCAAGATTTTGTATTGGGGGAGGGGAATATGAAAATGTATTAAAAGGTGAGCCGTGGGTGCCAAGCCCCTACACCCCTATTTTTAAATAAAAACAACATACATTAAATTAAAATTAATTTAACCTTGTATAGTTTAATTAGTATCTAAATGATAAATATATTATATTATTTTTTTTATCAGGAACTGAAATGTAAATTATTTTTTTTTTAATTTTTCGTTATTCAATATTTAATAGGTTTACATTCAAACTTTTTAGTTCTTACTTAAAACTAGTTCCATAATATGTTAATGATATATCATTATATTCCAGATTTGGCTTTATTATCCAAGATGCTTATGAGGTCAGAAAATTTCTTTTAACCCTGTATAGGTTAATTTTATTTCCACTTTATTATGAATTTAGATATAGGTATTAAAACTCTCAGATTTTTAACATTTAAAGACACAAAATGTTTATTTTTATTAATATTATATTAAAAAGAATTCATATTTTGGTCGGTTGGCATTAGCTAGACATAATCTATAACTTAAATTATGTATCATATTACTTATAGGTATATCATTTATGTTTAAATAAAGATATCTAATTACCAACTATGCCTTATGGTTTTGAGTGTTGGGTGGTTGATAGGAAAATATAATAGAGTACAAGGGTTGTGGAAATGAGAATGCTTAGATGGATAAGTGGAGTGACAAAAGAAGATAGAATAAGGAACGAATATATGAGAGGAAGTATTGGTATAGAGTTGATAGTGGATGAAAGAAAATAGACTGAGATGGTTTGGGCATGTGATGAGGAAGGAAGAAACAAAAGCAATAAGAGTAGTTATGAAAGTGAACATTGAAGGGAAAAGAGAAAGAGGAAGACCAAAAAAGAGATTGTTGAATACCATAGTACCAACAACCTTCATAGAACCTACTAAAAGTTCATCAGATTGAAATACATCAGAGGAAAATAATATATGGGTATTATAAAATTAATTGGTAGTTATATTATTTGAACAAGTTGAAATAATATTTTTATTTATAATTCCTCCAATAATTTTTGGAGTATTATAAACAATTTGTAAATTAACTACCATAAATCACAAAATAAAGAGATACAAATTTATTTTGTATCCATTGCATCAGTGTACATTGTCTTTTTAATTTTAATCATTATTGTATCCATTTTCTTAATAAATGTAATTTAATTTGTTTATTATTATTAATTTATAATTATAATAATATATTTTTTGAGATATAAAGAAAACATTCTGTAACATCAATACACATTTAATATTTAATAAAAGTTATATTGCATATTAACAGTATAATTTTTAAATAGTTATTACAATATAAGTATTTTCTTAAGTTGTAATTTATTATTTTATTTCTAACAGTTAATGCACTGTTGATAATAACCTTTAATAAAATACATCTAATATCAAATATACTGATATTATTGACCCATGTATTAATAAATTGATGGTAATTTTTCAAAATAAATAATTACATGAATTACAAACATTTAAATTATAACAATAATGAATAATTATATTTTGGTCATTTAGGTTAAATAGAGACATTTCAAATAATGTTTATAACTACACGAGAATAAAAAAGTATAAGTAAAAAAAGTACGGAATAAAAAATTAGTGGATAATTATACTTTTTAAAGCACCAAATGAATGATACTTGTTAATCAGTTAATCAGATATTTAATTATACAAAACTAAGTAATAATAAAAGTATAAAGTAATTAATTATAACAACAATATATAATAGTACATTTAAAATAATAATAAATAAAATTTGAAGAAAAGAAATTATTGAACTGCATTTTGGAATAAAATAATAAATTACCTATTTTATAAATATATTAAAGATCCAGAAGGTTTTTATTGTGGGTGCAAAATAAATTAAAATCGTTGAAATAGATATAAATTCGCACTTATAGTATCAAAATGAATAATATCAAAACAGATGAGTGACATAGTCACAATGTATCCTTTAACAGCCTTGTAAAACTTGAAAACAAGACCCACACACTCGAACTGGTTTCACTAGCCCATATTTAATGATAGGAACTTCTTGAGTAGAGCATTTGCTACATAATAATCTACCACAATGACGACTAGGATATAAAAATAAACAAAAGTTTAAAAATTAAAGGATTAAAAATAATTTACTTTCCTATCTGTAGCTACTTACCAATGATGCTTACGCGTTGTAAAACCAAATTTCAAACCACATTCCTGACATACTTCACATCCATCAACCCAAGGCGGTTCTTTTGTTAAGCTATCAAGCAACCTGGAAACAAAACAAATTTTTTTTTAAATAAGTTACATTATAAAAAAAAAAAAATGCCTATTTACCTAGACAACAATTGAGTAGTGGCCATCTGACAGTTGAATATAGTAATACCATCGTTATTCATTGCTCCAACACATGCACCAGCTTTTACTAAAGTTCTACATAGATTGCCATTGCCTTTCATATATGCTAATAGTAATGCTATAATAATCACCATTATAATAAAATGATAATAAAAAATAATTTAAAGTAATTTTTTCATTAAATAATACCTGTATTTCCCTCGGCATCTTGTACTTCAAGAGGATACTTTGGCATGTACTCTAAAAATACTTCACATATAGCAGCAGCACTTTCCTTACTATGTTTAGCCAGCTCATGAAGTGGATTTCGACATTTAAGAGTTAATGCTTCGGCATTGATTTGGGACTCTCCCAATAAAGTTTGTACAACTTGTAAATGACCTTCGCGACATGCAATATGTAATGCATTTTGTCCTGTTAAAAAAGTTTAGCAAGGTACTTTCATTATTATAAATAATATATTACAATACATATTTTATTGATTATTAACTGACCTTCACAATCAAGTGCATCAAAATTGGCATTATTGGTTAACAAGGCGTTCACAATTGGTGCATGGCCTGTTTCACTAGCTATATGCAATGCTGTTCTTTTCATTGTATCTTGATCATTTACCTAATACAGAAAAATAATTGTAGTAATTAATATTATTAGTTGAATAAATGCAGTCATACCCTGGCTCCAGCTAAAATGATACTGCGCACTAACATTTCATTGCCTGTTGCGGCTGCCAAATGTAGTGGAGTAGTTTGTAATTCATTTTGAACTCTTGAGTTAACATCTACATTGACAGAGAGTAAAAACAATACACTTTCAATATCACCTTTTTGAATAGCCATATGTAAAAAGTTGCACCCTTTGTTGTCAAACTTAAAATTAAAAAAAAATTATAATACTTGTTTCGCATTTTTAATTTATTTAGTTTACTTGTTCAGCAGCAGCTGGTAACTTATCCAAAATTGATCGAGCAGCTTTGTCATTACGACAAGTAAGAGCAGCTGCAAAAGGTGTAAGCCCAGTACGATCTCTCTTAGTTAAATCAATTGATGGATGACAAAGTAATAATGTAATAATTCCAGCATGTTGGTTTTTAATTGCCACATGAAGCGGAGTTTTGTGTTCTGCATCCTATTAATTAAATAACTATCCATATCAAATTTATACTTCTTTATTTTAATATATAAAATATCACTTAAATTAATGATTAAATTAAATTCCAAAAAGGTACTTAAAGTAGTTTAAATAAAATTTATGTTAATTTAAATACATTTTTTTTTGTATCCAGTTAAATTATTATTATTTCTTTTTTTTTTATCTAATAATTGGTTATCATTTATCACTAAAGATTTTATAAAGGTGGTTTTTATTATTGGGTTATATTGAAATATGCATTTAGTAGATGGATTATCAGAAATTGATTTAAGATATGAATAAGTAAACATAAAATATTATTTACCCAAGCATTAACATTAGCTCCATGTTCTAATAATGTCTGAACTACACTTTGTAGGCCCCAATGACAGCATAAGTGCAATGGAGATGATTGATCTTTTGATTCTTCGCCACCACGACCACCAGGCCCTGGTTTTCTAGGGCTGTTTATATCACAGCCACTGCATACAATTGTTAAAATGTTATTATTACAAATAAAAATAAAATTGAAAAATATAATAAATTTTACCTTCGGATAAGAAAACGAGCAGCACTTTCAGAATTTTCATCAATTGCTCGATGCAGAAGAGTTTGCAAACATCCCTCTGGCCCTTCACTCCACGAATCTGTGTCTACACCATACCTATTCAATAAATATTTATTAAAAATTTTTTACTTTGATTTCATTGAATACACTGAATATTTTACTTGACAAGAGTAGAAGCAATATCTTCTTGCTCAGAAGTTAAAGCAAGCCATAAAATAGGATCGCTATTTGATGACGGTACTGCCATATCTACTCCACGCTTACATAATTCTTCGACAACAATATTTTGACCACTAATTGTTGCAAGTTCTAAAGGTGTCTGATCATCTTGTGTCCTGAAATAATATTTAAATATAAATTTAGTAAGTAAAGTATACATTTATTTTTCTAATGAAGTTAGTACTGTCTTACTTTGAATCAAAATTTGATCCTTGTTTCACTAAATATAAAGCTGTTTTTTCATCACCTTTCAATATTGCCTGATGCAAAAGTGTCAAACCTTCTCCATTTCGCATGTCAATATCAGCACCACCTGTTTAAATGATATAATGTAATATTATAGTTGATCATTATAAAAAAAGGTTATAAACCTAGTATTCACCAGCAATGAGATCAGGTACAATGTGTTGCATATCAGATTTTAATGCTAAAGATAATGGTGAATCCCCTAGTGAATCACGTAGATTTAAATTGACTATAGAAAATCCTTCTTTAGGTTCTGCTGTAATGGTATCTAAACATTAAACCATTATTAACAAATTTATTACAAACAAAATTTAGAAAATTAGAAAATAAAAATATAAAATAACTTACTGTGATAGTGAAGCATAGCATTAACAGCTCCTTCCTGTTTGTTAATTATTGCTATATGTAAGGGAGTAAGTCTGTATGCAGTTTGCAGACCACTGTCTGTGCTCAATATAACACTATCAGGTGGTAATGTTTGTAAATTTGGGTTTGCTTGAAATTCGAGTAAGCGTCGAACAAGACGTGATAATCCTCTTTTACATGCAACATGTAATGCGCTTTCTCCCTAAGACAACAAGATTTAAAGATTTTAAACATCTATGATTGATCTATTAAACATAAAGAATTTAAAAAGTATATAGGTTTTAGTATTTTATTTATAACAGCATATGGTTTGATTGAAATAAGTTAGAATATACATTTTGTTAGTTGATTTTAATGTTTAGAAAAATATAAAATAAATTATCTATATAGGGATATCAACTAATTTAAACATATATGTTTCATGAATGTGAATTTGATTATTATGAACTTAAACATGTAACAAATTAGAAATTAAAATAAGTATAGAATAAGATTCTTATCATAAATTGTATACTTAGTAAATAATGTATTTTTTACATTGAAAATAAAATAATTGTATAGCTATATTGAATAAGTAATTTTATAAAAAACTAAATTTTATTAATTATTGATTATTAAACATTATTCTTTATAAATTAAGTTTTTAAATTGAAAGTTATACAAAGTTTTTAAAGTATTTAGTATTAAGTTCAAGAAAAGACTTGGTATTTGTAAAAAAAAATATAGAAAAACTTTGATAATTTTATTCGAACCATAAAATAATGAACTTTTCTTACTAGTTTGTTTGTGTAATTAATGTTATTACAGTGAGATGTAATGAAAAGAGCAGCTTCTTCAAGACTTTCATCGGCAACAATGTGTAACATAGAATTTGATGTTTTCTTATAAATCTAAAACAAATAAATCATTTATGATATGCAAACTTAAAATACAATGAATTTTATGTTAGTATAATTCCATATCATATTTTGCGTTCAATAATTTTTTTAAGTTGTATTATGCCTGACTTACTGGATTAGGATTTGCTCCAGAGGAAACCAAACGATTTGCAAAGCTATCATCGACATCAAGCTTAAGTGTATTAATTAATGCGTAGTATAATGGAGTATGATCGTCAATTGTTTGAGCATTTAAGTCAATTTTTCCAGATTGAGAATATTCTAATAATAATGTTAGTATATCATTGTTGTGAACCAATACTGCTAAATGTAGAGGTGTACTAAAAAATTAAATAAATGTTATTTATCAACAGACATAAATCATTAATCATTAACTGTTTTATAGTACTAACAATCCTTGACTGTTAGGCAAATTAGGATCGAGTCCAGACTTGAGAAGAGACCGGGCTACGGCAGTCATAGCAAATGCAGAATCTTCGGATCCAAAATGTGGCGATGAACTGGCAATCAGATGAAGAGCTGTATCACCTTGATCGGGAGTGACTGAATTGACTGATGCACCATGTGCCAACAAAAAGTTTGCGGCATACGTATCACCTCTTTGTACGGCTAAATGCAAAAGCGTATATCCATTTCGGTCACGAATATCTGGATCAGCCTGATTTTCGCACATCATTTCTGCAATACTGGTTTGATGATCACGTAATGCTAAATCCAAAGCCGATTCACCTTTATTATCCAGCTCATTAATTTTGATGTTCAACTGCAATCAAAATATTATATTACAACTTTAAATGGTAAACCAATTGTACATCGTTAATAATGGACTTTTCTCAAAATAAATATTATTTATGAGTAAATGAGAATAAATAAATACGTGTACTAAGCACTAAAAATTAAAAAGATAAAATAACGTTTATTAAAGTACCACAGGGTCAAATATGATGATTTAAACCTAATTGATGATAAAAATAACATTACCTGATACTAAGATACATTAAAGTAAATTGTAATTGGTTACAGAATTGATTTGGCAACTAACAATTATGTGATCATAAATTTAACTATAACATATTGATATCGAAATGTTAACACTAAATTAATTTAAATGTTACCTATCATTAAATATTATTTTTATTAATGTTCGTTCATTTTAGAAGTATAAAAATTTAAGTTCAATATTATATATATATTTATTATATTATTATATACGGTCGTAATATTTTCATAAGAATAATTAAATTAGGTAAAGTATTATTTTACCGAAAAGTTCAGATCTCACAAGTGTTAAAAAAATATATAATTAATACATATCACCGTCAGTTATGCCCCCCCCCTACAGGTTGCGGATATAAAACCAACTAACAAATAGCAAACATGTAAAAAGTTGGCCCTACGTCATATATAATAAATAATATATAAACTGTACACATGTGCAGACCACCTTTATGGTTATATTTATCGAACTTTTCGAATGAATCATCCATACAAACACTTTAATTAATGGGCGAAAAATTGTTAACACAAAAGCTTCACTATTCGAAAGTGACAAATGAGAAAAAGACTAATTTAATTTTGCAAATCATCAATTATTACGATATGTAAGTATGACTATGTTGATTAGTGTGTAGGTATAAACTAATCAAAATAAACAACACATAAAAATGCTTCAAATTATCATTTGAGCTGATTTAAAGACATTAAATAAATAATGATAACCGACAAAAGAAAGTACACCGTTAAGACTTTTTTTTTGTAAACAATATATAATATTACAAATTATCATTCGTTTTGAATAAATCTTATACTGAAATGGTTGGTCATAAAAACGGTTTTGCATAAATTATACATTATTATGTAATTATATAGGAAGAGAAAATATGGGATATATTTATACAATAACGACGTTCAACAAACGCAAAAAAATAATATGAATGTGTATGTGTGAAACTAGGAGATAAAATAAGGATATTATGACATATACATTTCGGTACATACATCCGCATTTGATAATTTTCCCTAAAAACGATTAATTCATTATAATATACAGACCACGTAGTGTGGTCGGTTGTATGTTAAAAAAAATGATAATACTTTTTTTTCTCGTAATTGGTACGCGAAATTTGGAACAAAAAGTATTCACGACCCACGTTGAACGAATAGAACGTGGTATTTAAATCGTTTGTTCCGTGCGTCCTCCTTATAACAACCGTCGCGGTCGTGTTAACATAATACCTATTATCTACATTAAAACGCACGTCTATTACTGAAGGCACAATAAAATGCTATGATAATAACAGTATAAATACTATGATCCGTACGGTGTTTTATTTCCGTTATAGGTGTGAACATACTACACTACGAAAAAAAAAAAAATGATTAAAACACTCGTGATTCGAAACATACTGTACAAACGACACGTTACAAATTAGAACGTCAATGAATAGCATCCTGTTGTATAGGAGCAGTACCACCGGCACGTATAGGCGTATAATATAGACATTATTGTAATTTACAATACTGTTATAATCTCGACAACGAATCGAGTTCAAATGAGAACACCCAGCGTACGTACTATGAACTATTAATTATCTTACGAAGACTAACCTATAGAGTGAATTATGGCCATGCACTACCTAATAGTATAAAAATAGTTATTTCATTATTTTATGCATGAAATGAATACCATAAATATACATCATATGCAGATGCACATGTCCGATTACAGGAACAACATTACATACGTTATCGACCGTTATTTTTTTGTTTCAATAAGATGCACGACATTAAAGTATAATTTATGAATAGGAAAATGAGGAAAAAATTCTATGCATAAAAGTTCAAAATACAAAGGAAAAATTTGTTTATATGGTTCACACGAAAATACTATAAATAGCCAATATTACTTAGGTATATGAAACTTACTACAATAAATTAATTTTTATAGTTTACTTTATAACCTTTCAAAAATGGTAAACAAACCATATAATATTAGTTTAAATATGTGTTTTAAATTTAAGCTTTTTTCGAAATACATATTTTAAATTTTGGTTTCTATGCGCTTCTTGATTCTATAATATGAATATAGCCGCTAACAGAATTCAACCAACTCGTAACAACTCGTTTAACGTATGCGATTCAATAAAAAATTAAAAAAAAAACAAATTTCTACAACTTATAGGTGTTTATATAACAATATATGTTGTACGTGATCTTACGAATAAAAACGAACCTCACCAACAATAACGGAGGATCAAATTTCTTTTCGTCACCATGCAAATTTTTTGGTCTTACTACAGTTCGGTAAGCGGTCTCCAAAAATAAAACAACGTGCTTGGGACGCCAAAAGATGACGTACGATAGGATTTTCATTATTATGCAAACGCTTTGTATGTATATGCAACGTTTATAGTTAACAGCGACCTTCACGTCTACAGAAAACAATTAAAAATATTTCCTACTTCTATGCGGGTTCAATGACAGGCACGTAAACATACAGTATCAATTACTATATAATATCGTGCGCATTACCATTATTTTGTCAATACTAAATAAGTGGAAAAAATGAGGGGAAAGTTATAAAAAAAAATTAAATTTACTTAACTTAATATACTATACTTGTCTCGATGAAAATAATTATAATGCACCTGAGATAATAATGGAGGGTAAACCAGGGGCGGATCCAGAGTCGGGGAAATGTGGGTTAAGCCATTTCAAGAGGCCATTTATTAGGGATGAAACTGAATTAGAAATGAATACCTTGTAAAAAAAAAAAAAACAATATGCTCATAAAAGTGTATAAGTATATTTATATTACATTTTAGAATTAGTTATACCACCGATAATGACTTATTTACGATTAATAAATATAATCTAATTTTATCAGCGCAACAAACGTACGGAATAAAATATGATTTACTTAACTTTTTACTAAAACGATATAATTTAAAATATAAATTATGAATTGAAAATTTTTAAATTTTGAATAAACAAGGTATTCATTTTTCTAGTAACTCCGATGGGCCAACTGTACAAGAATCCATCCAAATCAAGGTCTAAAAAGAGAAAACAATTTCCAAGAGGCCAATTTTGTCAACAAATATTAACTGTAGGTCAGCTGACCTCCTGAACCCCCCCTAGATCCACTCCTGGGGTGAACATTTTCTATGTTACGAAAAATGTTTCGCTTTAATTCGACTACACTACGTGATAATAACATACATTAATAAACTATTTCAAATACAATTGGTTTGAATACGATATAAATTAAGTTATTGAAAAAAAGAATAATTTGCATCAATATTTTATATAACTGAAGACATAGGAGGAAGAAGGACAATTAAATATGAAAAATATTATTCAGAAGGACGTTAGTGGTGTGCAGCGTTCATATATGAATTTCTGATAGGATTTTCGAGATCATCGGCGATCAGGTTTGTCTGTAGCGGAAAAAACGACGGTGACCCGCGAAATAAATTATAAATAACAATAGACATAAAACAATATAAATACACGTTAAAAAATATCGATTTGTGTACATGATGACACGTAAATCATTTTTTTTTTTTAATTATTTGACCTATAAGTATACACAAACATATGCACTTACATATACACATATGCAAACGTACTTTATATACGAGTATAGCATGATTGTAAAAGGAAGTAAGAATACAAGGGACCGTGCGTGGTGGATGAGATGTAACATGCATGATGACACACCTAAGCAATCTATATTAAAATATGTCCAACCGACAACCAACAGAGAAAAGAGTTAAATGTTCGATTTTATACAATTTCATAAATTATGAATGTAAGTACTAAATATCGACCGTACATATAATAACCCGACGAATCGCAGAAACTATTAGACATATGCCATTTGGATCACGAAAACAACGGTTAACCGTTATAATGGATGTTTGTTGCAAAAAAGGGCTGGGTATTCGAATATAAATATCGCGAAGCATTATGAGTAGGTAGGTATTTATCTATCATTATAATATTATGCATTTTCAGGAATGATTTTTGAATAGGTACGCTGTGAATAATTGCATACGATATTTTTTAACAAAGTAATACGCTTGTCGATTTCGAAATCAAAAGAGTAAAACAATTTACGTGATTGAGTTGCATACTTACAGGAATAATAAAATTTAAGTTGAGAATAGTATTAGTTAATATTAATCGTCGAAAAATTGGAGTGCAATGAAAAAACTTGCGACGTCGCAGGAGAGACCCGACATGCTGGTCGAAAAAAATTAAACGCTAAGTATTAAAGCGTAACATAAGACGCTAACTACAACATTAGATAACTGATTTGAATTATTTGATTTAATTTGAAAATAACCTCAACAATTATGCGATTTGAACAATAATATACTGGACTCAATACATTACATAATTTATTATTTATATGAGTGGAGGTAAAAGTTAAAAGCAAGTAATTTTTTATCTAATTAATTTTTACTTAGTAAAAAGTATTCGAAGTTTAAGAAATATTTAAAAAAATAAAAGATTAATAACAAAATGTTTTAGACAGCTATTCATTTTTTTTTTTTGTTTTATCAAGTATTTTATATTTCATTTCCATTTAATACAATAAAAACAAGAATAAAAAAACGCTCAGAATAGATGAATATTTTTAAATTAAAATAAATAAACTTTATTATTTGTTCTTCAATATTCTATAAAGTTATGTTTGTTACCGTATACGTTAATAGTTTACATTAGTAAATAAATTAAGTATACAAGTATAGCATATTTTGTAGTCTATGTAAATGTACTAGAATTCCACATTTAAAAATCTTGAGCTGAATTCATTATTAATTTGATTCAAACTTAAAAAACAAATTAGAATTCAGATAGTATATATATATATATATATATATATATATAAGAATATTAAGATTTTAGATTTAATTCTAATATAAAAAAAAAAAAAAATCATCATTAATACTTACATTAACTAGTGTAATAGTGACAAGTAGGTAATAGATATTTTAATTTTTATAGTCAAATAATATAATTTTCATAGTGTATATAAGTACGTTTATAGACAAATTACCTTTCTAAAGTATTTTTTTAATTTAAATACGAACCTCATAAAAAATAATTATTTTCCTTAGTTTTGACAAACAATTATTTATAAAAAAAACATTAATGAAAATTACGAATTTTCTAAACTTAACTCATATTTATGACAAAAAATTATATTACGATTATATATTAATTCATTATAAAATAATAATATATAAATAATTTATTAACATCAATAATAAATTGTTAATAAACTAGAAAATATTGATGTTTACACAACAAACTCAAATATAGTAATATCAATAATAATTAATTTTTATGGTAACAACAAAAAAATAAAAATATTGAAATTACAAATAAAGAATATTTTATTTTTATCGTACGAAAGATTTTTAATGTTTTAATTAATTCAAACCTGATTCCGTGAAATTCTATATTAAATTTTATTTTAATTGATTATACACCTTTCGTACATTAATCTTATTAATAAAAATATAGAAAAAAATAAATAAGTAAGAAAGTTGAAAAAAAAACGTAAATATAAAAATTATAATAATGTTATAAATGTTAGCATCATAACTTTTTATATTATTAAAGCTAACAAGGTTATTATTTCTTTACAATGAGACTAAACCTTTAATAATAAAAGAGGTCAAACTCGATTCAAAATTGAATTACCAATATTATTAATGAATCAAATTAATTTTAAACCTCCAATTAATGTAAATAAATAATTTTTCAGATTACCTATAAATTATTTAATACAATTGTAAAATATAATTGTACTAATTACATAAATCCATCCAATAGAAAAAATACGATTTATGTAACTGTAAACACACGTGCACTTATAAAATACAAACTATTGTTTTCTTTGTAGCTTCATTTAGATCCTGCGTTGTTTGGAAGATTTCAAGGATACAAGTATAATTTATATTATTGTAGAGCAAAAGATTATAACATCAAATCTATATTATACAATATAATATTGTATAATCAATGGTTAAATATTGATGATTATTAAAATACATTTTTTTTTTTTTTGTTAAGCAATATAATATAGAAATTTATAATGCACAATTAACTTGAAGATTATTTTAAACTATTTATCAAAAATAATTTAATGAATATTATTATAATTAATGATTAAACCAATTAGTAAGAAATTAATTTCAATAAAGATTATATTATTATTTAAACAAGTGAGCTATAAATTATTTAGTTTTTTTACTTACTATTATTCAATAACATTAAAGCAAAGTTTTCACATACAATTTAAGTATATATTAAGTAAAGTAAATCATTTAAGTAAATCATCAAAACAATTTCACAAGAAAAATAATCTAAAGATAACTACTAACTTATATGCAGAGCCGTTCCGAAGGGAGGTCTTGGGGATGTCTAACCCCCTCCCACCAATTAAAACACCAGTCGGCAGTCGGACTCATTTTATTATAGCCTAGAAGGACCTAATTTTACTTACGGAAAACAAATATTACACATTTTGTAATACAGTTCATACACGAATAAAATTTATATAACTACATATTATACAATATAACACACATATATATATATATATATAATTAAATTGTCAATTTTAAGAACGTGCGACACTGTCACATATATACATGTTAAAAGGTAAAAATACGATTACATATATTTAATTATACTACATACATTGAGTAAAAAAATTGTACACATTTTTTATATTATTAACCCTTCCTTGATTTTCATCGTCGGGACGGCCCTGCTTATATGTTATAGGACAAAATAATTTCAATAATTGTAACTATAAAACATAAATGTATTGGTATAGTTTAATGATTATATTTGCATAGATAAAGTAGATATCCATTAAACAAACAGAATTATGTGTGTATTTATAGTAAACAATACATCAAGCTAATTCAATAGTATAATCCTAGAAAAGGATCCATTTATTAATAAAATACAGTTTTCGATTAAATATAAATCAATATTAACAAATATATAAATGAATAAACACAATATTCATTAACTTATTCGACTTGTGTGCAAGGACATAATCTTTGTGAATAATCTTGACCTCATTTTGGTACTCCGAGATCATTAAACTACAGAGAGTTCTTTCATTTCTTCGAGAGAAAGTAGACATGGCTAGAATAGCAATCCGGTTCGAATAGCGGTGTATTTATTTTTAAAGTTTTCTAATTTTTGAGAAAATTAACATTTTTTTTAACTTACCTATGCACATTGACGTTATAATTTAACTCATAATATATTTTATGTGTTGATACAAATAAAATTACAACAATTGGCAAAATTAAATGTAAATCAAAAAAACAATTTCAAAGATTTCAGCGAGTGCAATTCCTGTATATTTCATTGATATTTTCATATTAGGTATAAGTATTTATACTTATATCGTAGAAGACAATTATAAATACGTAATTTTATGGGAATCTATCGGTATATAGTAACAATATAGTAACAATTTTATCAGAAAATGTCTATAATATTTATGTATAAGAAAAAGGATATTCGATCTACTTCTTACATAAACATATATCATTTAGTATGGTTATTGATATATAATTTAATTTAATTTTCTGTATAAATTTGGAAAATGTATAAGTATTATATTTTTTAAACATATATGGTTTAATGAATATATTACTTATCAAATACCAATTTTTAGAACTACTTGAAATACAGCAATAGTTGTAAATTGTATGTACTATTTAAAACTAAATAAAATAAAAAAATAATTTAAATGCATATCATACATTTTGTAATTTCATAAAAACACACGTTTAAAATTATAAGAGAGGGAGTTATATAAAATGACAATAAGATAAAAATGAGGATATGTACATTGCATATGATGGGTGAAATATTAAATAAATATATTTAATCAAGGACACTTACTACAATATACATACATTTAAGACAGTAAATATAATTCAGAGTCCAAAAAAAAAATCGAATTTATTATTATTTACTATTTTACCGTAGTCTTATAATATATAATTGAAAAATAAGTAATATACGGTTTTTATTTGTATTTTTACTTTATAAACAAAACTAAATATCTTTTATATATTTTTACTTTAAAATCACTGAATCTTCTTCTCCACTTAAAAATAAATAAAAAGTAAACAAAAAACCTGCTTTACACATTCCACTAACAATTTTTTTTAAACAAAATCTTAATAACAACAACTCAACAACTCATAGAAATTTCGTTAAGTTTATACTTGAATATATATGTTTATTTAAAGTATGAAAAATAACAGCAACTGTTTGATTGTGTTAATTATTTATTATATATTATAATAAATATTAATAAATATTATAATATTATAATTATTATTAGTTTTGTAAATCTAATAGTAAAGCAAATCGGTATTTATCAATTCGATATAAAGTTTTTTTCTCATACTTAATAAAAAAAAATCCATGAACACATTGTATAATAAACGGAAAAGTTGAAACATTTTTAAAATTTTAAAACTAAAGTGAAAAAATAAAGGAAAATTAACGTTACGATAACACTACATCATGTGGTTAAATACTCCCACCAACAGCGAGAAATAATACAGCTACGTCAATCCAACGGTTTCGTGCAGTGGTAGCAGTGAGAACGGTAGTATTAACGTATCACTGAAGTTTAGTCAGTTGACGTCCGACAGTTGTATAGGTTCATTAAACTTAACCAGTGACAATAATTTGTCGTTCTAGTCAACTTGCGCGTAAGTAATTGTGCGTGCATTTTAAGACAATGCAGTACCTTTAAATTATGTACAATTTTTTTTTAATTCTTTTAATGTTTGATTAATTTTCGGTTAGTAGTAATAAAAACAAAATAACTTAAATTCATCCGAAAAAAATTATCATGATCTTATCATTTCGGAATAATATGATGTTTTCTACTGCTATTGCCTACGTATTGATTTTGGTGCCCAGTAAGTAACATTGTATTATTTAATAATAATAAAAAAATAGATTACATTTATTTAAAAATATTAAATTTAAAAAAATAGATACTAATAATAATAATAATAATATAATGATAATCATAGTAGAAAATTCTACTTACGATTTCCAATCCGGATAAGTAATAAATGTACGCTTTAAATGTTCTTACATTTTGATATTATCAATGAATAATAATCTTTAGAATAAGTATTTTTATACATAATATAACTCATTGATCATAAGATTAATTCACAATTATTTATTACTCTAATATAAAAGTCTAAGAATTAATTTGATATTCTAAAAATCAGATTCGATGTAACATAAAGTTTAATAATAATAAAAAAAAAATGATAACAAATTTATGGATTAAAATTAAAAACCCAGATATTAATGTGATTTTCCATAAAAAATTTAAAAATATTTTCAATAAAATATTACAAATATTAATCTCCCGAGATTTTCTTTATAATTTCTAAATATAATATGTATTTTATTTATTGTTTAGATAAAATAATAATATATTCGTGGTAGGGAGTCCATTCAATGATAATCGATAACATGTAAGAATAATTACCATGTAACCTACTATTAATATAAGTAATAACAACTAATAACATTCAATAATAATTATTACGTATAAAATATATAAATCGTTGCATTACATGAATTAAACATTGAGTGTTTCCAACTTTGTTCAGACAAACTATATCAATATTTGAACCCATAAAGAACAAAATCTTTCAAAAATTACTAATTTTCAATACATACACAATAATATTGTATGTTTAATTATTACTTAAAATACTTAAGTAAACTACTTAATCTATTTATAATTAACCTTTTTTATATTTTAAGAAAATTATAAAGAAATAATAATTTAGCAGAATTAGGATATTCATATATTCAAATTTTTTATCAAGCCATTAAATTAATACAAACTTATTGAAAAAAGATTAATTTGATTAATTACCATTAAAAAAAAAAAGTTCTAGGCAAGAGACTATGAATCTTTAATACAATATTTTATATCATCAACCACATATAATGTACAAACCATTATGTTTCTTGAAATGTAATATATTTATATTTTAAAAACATATAAGTTATAACAATGCGTGCAATTATTTTAATCATTATCAATGATAAGAATGGTTAGTTTTCAGAAAATACATTGATATTTTATCAAGAATTCGGTATTTATCACAAAAATAAAAAAATGTTAAAAATATTTTTCAATAAAATAAAATAAAAATTAGTACTCGTTAATGAATGTATAGTTTATAAATATAAATAAATAAATGTGTAGTCCGGAATATTATATGTGTAACGTACGACCGGTTTCGTATTGAAAATTCATCATCACCGATGATTCATCAGGTATATACTAAGTCAATAAAATCGTGACTGAATATGAAAAAATAAAAGCAATATATTTATTTTATTTACACTTCAATTTTTTCATTCATTTTTTTTATTTAATTTTCTTGAATTTTCTTAACTTTGTATACGCCTCCTAATGATAAAGTTTTAAAAATATATTTTATAAAAATTTTAGATTACAAGTACACACGAACATACTTTAAAAATTATTTTTCTTAATATTTATAATAAAACAAAGAAAATATTTATAAAAGAAAATATGAATAATTATTTTTAACTTTGAACGGATTACCGTTAAACCACAATAAATAACACATGCCCGATATCGTGTTTTCAAGGAAATCATTATTATCTTATGTTGTATAATCATGAAGCACTTATCCGTTATATGGATATACTAATATAATTATTCAATACTTAGATGTATTCAACAATTAATTCATCAATATAGTTTAATATGTGTTGAATTAACTCGATGAGTAGAAATGAGTATAACGTAAGAAAATAATATCAATAAAATGTAAAATGATACGTAAGATAAAACCTACAATTCACAGTTCTTAAATATATTTTACTCTCGAAATTAATCATAACTAATGGTTTGCAGTTATGTTATCATCGGTGGTCATTAGGGGGGGCTTGGAGGGTCTTTGCCCTCCCCCAAATATTGTAATAGCCCCTCAAAATCGAAACTTTGTTAGAAATATTATTCGTTGTTTTATAATCTGTTGGTTTTTTTTGAAAATCGTAAAATAAGAAATAATAAAAATCTATAATAGCATTAACAATTAGTTCGGCTACTTGCGAAAGAAGTTTCAGGGCAATGAAAAAAATAAAAACTTGGCTAAGGTTCAATGATCTTTCAATATTGAAAATGATATATCGAAAAATATAAAAAGCGATGATATTTTGATATTTGCTGATACAAATAGATATTTATCATTAAAATAGAATATTAATTATTTTTAAATATACGTTATTTAGTGTTTTTTTTTTTAATATAATTTATACATATCTATATTTTTAATAGTAATAAGTCTTACTTGAACATAAGTAGGGAGTGTGGAGGCGAAGTCCCTACGGGTTATTTTACTTTGAATTATTACAGGCCCCCCAAAAATTCAACCAAATGTCCGCCTATATATGCAATACAGAGTATTATTATTTTATCCAGACATTAAAACGTACTAAACATACTAATTTGAAAAAATATAATCATCAATTATTATACCAAAATGTGAATGATTTTTTTTTATTTTTTACAGCAAGTAACGGTCAAATAGATTGCTATGAGTGTACAGTACATCCTCCAGAAACATACACGAATAAGTTATCAAAATTATGTACAAAGTTTAATACTTCCGATTATTTTAAAGTTCACTGTCCCAACTCGACTTATTGCAAGAAGAAATCATTTCAACTAGAAGTGCAACCAGGAAGTAATTACAGTAACAAATAGCATCGATTAACCTGAATAACAAAAATATAACAACACCGCGTATGCTTTTTTTTACATTTTTTTTTTTTTTTACAGAAATAATCAAAGGAGCAGTCAGGGGATGTGGAAGTGTACCACAAAAATATGATTATCATGTAATCAGAAATGGTAGTTGGAGGCTTGAACCGATCATGGAAGTCAGTGAGCCCAAAAATGGATGTTATTCCGGAAATGACAACGAACTGAGAACGTCAGACACTACGTTTTGCTATTGCGACGAAAATCTTTGTAATAATGCTAAACATACAACGAACTTTTCAAGTCATACAGACACAATCGCAGTGATAATAATTTACAACATCATGCGATTTTTGAAAACTCACACGCAACCAGCATAGTGAAAGTCCAAGAAAGCGTCTGTTCCATATAATGTTCCGTCGTAAAAGAAAAATATCGCATCTATTTATTTAAGCGTAGACTAATGTATGAAAACAGAACCAATAGAAAAATGTTAAAAACAATATCAATACATATATGATAATTAGTTTCAATACTCTTTTTTACCTGGCTCACGTCCAAAAACATGTACATTATTATTTAATAGGTTAGGTTAGGTTAGGTCTAACCTACTTACTTACCTACCTAATAGTTATAATTTATTAATTATTTTTTACGTTAAAATTTTTGTACTTAAGTTATTATGAAATTTTAAAATGTAAATATATGTTTTCTTTCAAATTGTACATGTACTCAGATAAGCAGTTATGTTATCTTTGATGTTTACTGATTAAAAAAAAAAAATTCTACTTAATACAATTGTAAGGGAATTTATGATTTTTTAAAAAAAGAGTAATTTAATTAGTTTTAAATAAAACATGGCTGTGTTTATTTTAAGTATTACGAGCACATAAAATATTCTCTTTGTACCTCACTACCACTACCTCTACAGAGTGAATATCTATGTATACTTTATATAATAAAATAATATGTAACTAAACTAGTTTGTCTACTTTGTATTGAATCACAAGTTTGTAATTGTGAACAGAAGAAAAATAATTTAAAAATATACGATTCATATTGTTTACAATTAGACAAATAAAATTCTTTCATTTTATAAAAAAATATAATGAACTGTTATTAATTATGATATAAAAGTAAAATCTATAAATATTTTTATTGAAACAAAAGACCACGGTATTTTTATAACTATTGATTATCAAGCAAAAATAATTTATAGAGATATAACTCAGTTTAAAATTATTAACAAAATGTTGGTAAAAATAACAAATAATGGTATTATTATTATTTCAAAATTTAAACTATCTAATTTATGAATATATTACATATGAAATATGTGTAATAATGTTTTATTTTATTTGAATTTTAAAATATATACTATATTGTGAGTTAACAATATTTTCAAAAATTCGCCTATGATTGAAAAATTAAACCTTTAGCAATAATATTATGTTAATTGTTAAAAATTAAATAAATTTAGTTGTTATCATCAACATTTTAATTTTTTTTTCTTTCATACACATAAACAGTTTTAAAAATAACAAACATCTTGATTATTTAGTTGATTAGTAAAATATAGGAAAGTCCAAATCTAGTGACTATTAAGAAAAATTATATAAATAAATAAATTTTTGTTCATTGTTTTACAATGCAAAAATAAAAATATAAATTGTAATTTTCTTCATGTGTTTACTGGAAATAAATTACACATAATTATTAAGGTATCTACATTATAGATATAAATTTGGAACAGAGGGATGCCTAAAGTGAATCATGATGACCTTTCACCCATTGGTATACATTGTAATGTGATAAAATATTATTTCCAATGATATATTGAAAATAAATGTATGTTTTCTTTTTTAAATTGGCATTACTTATGATAAATTTTATTAACAAAAGTTTCTAAAAAGTATTTCTAAATGCTGGTTCTATACATAGTTAATTAAAAAAAACTACACTTAATTAAACAATTAAAATTATAAAATAAGTAAAACCATAAATTAAAATTTAATTATGATATATATTTTTCTCAAATATATGGGTTCAAATAAAATGTGAACAATATAGATTATAAATGGTACTTAATTATAACATTACTTGATACTTTTGAATAATTTTAAAATAATCGAAGATTTAGTAATAAATAAAATTACTTAGAAATGTTCATACATAATAAGACTTCACCATAGTAGCAGTATAATAATTAATGTTCAATATTTATTACTAGAAGAAATTTTTTTTTTATATTTAAAGATTTGTAAAATTATGTAACCAGAGAAGTAAAAAAAAAAATTATTTTATACTTATGAATATTTTGTACTGATGGATTCAAAATAATATAAAAGTTCTTACCTGGGAACTATGCTCAACTACATAGAGAAATACAACATCTTCTCTTCGAAGTCTAACGGCTGAATGCAGAGGATATTTGGTCTTACTCTTAAACATGTGATATAAAAATTGTGCTGACATATGTGCAAAATCATCACTTGTAAAATCATCCTAAAAATATACAATAACTATTAAAATTACTTTGAATTATTAATAGATTAAAAAATGTATTCATTGATTGAAGCACAAAGATTAAAACACTTTATAGTATGAAATATTTAATAACACATTTATTCATTAAAATATTTATTACGTATAGATAACTAATTTAATACCCTTCAAATTTGAGTCTGAAGCTTTGTAGCATAACATAGTATTATCTTAAATGATACATTAAGTGATGAATTTTTAGACATATTGACCAAAAATCAAATACATTCAGGAACAAATAAATACAACGTTTAGACACATAAAATAAAATGTATGTGAGTACACAACTTAAATTTTAATGAAAAAAAATTAGATAAAATTTGAGGAATAAAATTAATCGTAACATGGTTATCAACTATAATCTTTATTTACTATGAATTTATAACCAAATAATTATACTCACAATAATTTAACAGAGTAACTAGGCAATGAATGATTTAGTGCTTTTCAAGCATAGCAAGTAAATACAAATACATTTTTTTATCTGCCTATATTTGTGAAGTTCTGAAGTTTGAAATTATTTTGAGCAAGTGATAGCAAATTTTGTATTAGAAACAGAAGCTTGCCAGCGAAGCCGAGGTGGACATATGCCAAATGTGATATTTCACACTTAAATCGCAGAATATATACTAAATGTTGATGTATTTTTTTTGCTCAAAATCATTTTTTTAATAAATTTATAACAAGATTAAATCCGACGTTCTTAATGAAACACCCTATATTTTAATATTTAATATAATGACTGATATATATATATATTTATTTTTATACTTTATATGGACGGATTTTAAACAAAATTAAACATAAATTAGAGACATGCATTTGTAAAATTAATTAATTAATTTTAGTTAAATATTAGTTAAATTATTATTCAACAAACATCAAATCAAAGTTTACTAAAATAGTATATTAGTCGATAATTTTAATTAGTTAAATTTTAGAACATTAGTTTGTAAAAGAATAATTAGCTAAGTTTTTGTAGATGATATTTTTGTTAAAAATAAATCAATATAAATATGTACATTAATATATAGATTAATACTCATATAATTAATATGAAAATATAATAAATAATTTAAAAACATTAAGTAAAAATAAGTTAAGAATATAACTATTAGTTTTTTACAATAATAATAATAATACTGACTTATTTTTATGCACCACTTACCCAATGAGCTGATATTAAACTTGAACAATGTTCTTTCAATGTATGAGCTCCTATTTCATCGGCAGTTGTATAAAATTTTACACAGTTCTTAACATTTACTGAAGCCATTAAAGCTTTTTCACACCTACAACAAATAATAACAACATTTTATACATTTTTATTAACTACAAAATTATTTTTAAAATAATATGAAAAATAATTTAGCTTATAATTATTGTAAATTATAAAGAAAAGCTAAAAAGTTCAATTTTCTAGTTATATATATATAAAAAAATATTTGTTTTGACACAACAACAACCATCTAATCTGGAAGTTTTCTGTAATCATACTTCTTCATAAATTTAAATTTGAATTGTACATTTTAAATGATGATCGTAAGTAATATTGTTTTTTTTCGAATTGTGTATTATGAAATTTATACAACTAATAATGTATTTAACGATTTAAATTAGGATTAGGGTTACCAGATTATATTTTTCTGAACCTGGGACTTTTTGAAAAGATAAATATTATACATATATAATATTATAAATATATATATATATATATATATATATTTTACTGAATTATGTATAGAAGCAATATAATAATAATATTAATAATAATAATAATAATAATCATAATAATTCATATTCTTGGTTTTCAGATCTTTTGGGGTCCAGAGTTTCCTCTGTTGAATTTACTACATATTTGACTGATCCATAAACTTGTTTTAATAATGACTTGTTTCCCAAAATTTGGTCGTAGAATTCTTCATAAGATGTATTATTGAAGCACGTTTTTATATCTAGTTATTAACTTGAATTTATCCATGAGATGTTCATCAGTGCATTTGAACCCGACAAAACAAAAATAAATTCAACAATTTTTTTAGAGGGCAACCCCTTAACCCCCCCCCCCCAGCTCTGCCCGCGCCACTGCCTAAAACTCTATCTAAAAACCTAATACAAAACTCTTATTAGTTGCTTACATTTACTACCCATACAAATAAAAACATAATGTACAATATACATATCTCATATAACTCATCAAGACCTTAACTAAATTACATAAAAACGTGAACAATCTTAAACCTTCCTAAAGCTATCATTCAAGCTTTTTAAGCCATATCTTTGTATCATCATATCAAATAAGAATTTAAAATTAGATTTTAGAATCTAATTTTATCTAATTTAGAATTAGAATTCATTAGAATTGTTGATAATATAATTTGACATATAAACACATATCTTAATTATCTATCTATACTATTTCATATAAAATTGTAAGGGGTTTTATACGACCGCACTAACCGAGAAAACTACTGAACCGATTTGGCTGAAATTTTTCACTGTTATATCCGACACTCTGCTTAAGGTTTTAATACCACTTTTATCAAAGAAAAATAAGTATAAAAGTTCTTGGAAAATTAAAAAACTATATATCTATATTATATAAATATTGTGTGGCACGGCGGCCCGTGGGTTTACAGCTACCTGTATCCTGACCTTTTTTCTTCTATAGTCAAGGTTGTTTGATGAGTTGCAAGACTTTAAGTTAATTATTCATGGTGATAGAGTTCCTCAAGAAGAACACAAAGGTCAATATAATGCACCTACAATCGATGAAGTAGCTGTATTATTAGTCTCCAGCATGCAATTTTATTCTTACATGTTTATGGTTAGAAAAATAAGTCTAAATCATCTATATTATTACAAAACCTTATTCAGTCGTTTCGCCGTGGATATGATGACAAAAATGATTACTGAAAGACTACACTTTGTTCGTAACCATCAAAAACAACTACCTGCAGATGATTATGTTTACCTCCGAGATGCTGTTAACAATGATGCAGATATTAATGCGGGCGCATGTAAACTCCGACAGAAAAAAAAACAAGTAAAATAAGGTTCATATAAACTCCACCAGTGAAGAAAATCAAGTAGTAGTATACAATTAATATGATATATTATTAAAAAAAAATTATAATATAATATAATATAATATCATATCGTTCACATTAAATACTTAAATCATAGTAAAAAAATCATAACAAATAATCATTATACATAATAATCCAGGAATATATAGTTATGTCAAGTATGTAAACAAAATTATGTGATACAATTTGTAAATATTCTAAATCTTGTATTACTCCATTAGTGTACCTATTTATAGTATCCTGTAATATTGTAATTTTTTTTTTTATTTCGAATTTTTTTACTTATTTACTTGAGTTATGCCATTTAGTTTTATATAAGTATGAGTTTGAAATTCGGTAAGAACTTAACTAAAAATATGAATATTCGGTTGACTTTTATAAAATGAATTTCTTAAATGACTATGGAAAGATTCACAGGCAAAACACAAAAATCTGGCGGGGTTTACATATATTTATTACAGGTAAGAAAAAAAAACTGGGCGAGTTTACATCAGACCTTTTATTACCTTTTTATCTTAACCGATATTGCGGCGGAGTTTGCAATCGCCCATTAATGATAATAACGTGGGGTAATAAGTAATTATTCCCTCTTCTTTTACTGGCTCCCCACGTTATATGCATGAAAAAAATCTGGATATTATGACATGTGTTCGTAAATTTGGCCGTTCAGATTTATTTATTACTTTCACATGCAATCCGGAATGGCCGGAAATAAAAAATGAATTATTTCAAGATCAAAAGTTGTTTGATAAACACGACATAATCTCTAAAGTTTTTCATCTTAAACTAAAAAAATATATGCATGTATGAAAAAATGAATATATTAACGGATATGTAAATAGTAATATTTTTAGTGTTAAATGGCAAAAACGAGGTTTGCCACACTGCCAAATTCTTTTATGGTTACAAATGAAAATTCAGCAGCTGAAATAGATAAAATTATTTCTGCCGAGATACCAAAGACAGAGATCCTATACTTTATGAAATAGTATGCAAGAACATGATTCATGGCTCATGTGGCGAGTTAAATATTAAATTACCATGTATGAATAATGGAAAACGTAGTAAGAAATACCCTCGCAAATTGGTCAAAGATACTTAAACTGGAGATGATGGTTATCCGATTTACTAATGGAGAGCACCATATGATGGAGTTTATACTACAATATTAAAAGTTCGAGGTCAAACAGTCAAATAAAACCGTGGTCGACAACCGTTGGGTTGTACCATATTGCCCAGTGCTAATTGCCCATTGCTATCAAGGTGCTTTAATGCGCATATTAACGTAAAATACGATTAAAACAATAAAATACATATGTAAATACATTAGTAAAGGATAAGGATAATAAAGGATCAGATAGAGCTACTTTTTCTGTTAATAGTGAAAACGATGAGATTGCAAATTATTTGAATGGTCGATACATATGTACTTCTGAAGCGTTTTGAAGAACTTTCAATTTTAAAATTTATGATAGAGATTCAACAGTTAAGCACTTAGCTGTTCATTTAGAAAATGGACAGCGTGTTTTCTTTATTGCTTATCTTCATCAAGTTATTGAAAATCCAAGAAAAAACGATACTAATTACATTTTTTGAACTCACATGATGATTTTGCGAAAACACGGTTCTATCATGAAGTTCCTTCTTATACCTCTTATACCTGGAATGATAGCAGAGGCTGGTTAAAGAGAAGACGGGGAAAAGATATTCCGGGTTGGCCAGGAATAAAAATGGACATTGCCATTGGTAGAATTTATACGATTCACCCAAATCAAAGTGAGTGCTTACATTTAAGATTGTTACTAAATTATGAACAAGATCCTACTTCATTTGAAAACTTGAAGGTCATTGATGAAGTCATTCACGCGATTTTTAAAGCTGTCTGTTTTACTTTTGGGCTTTTAGAAAATTACGAGTAATGAAAAAATGCTCTAGCGGATGCAACTGTTTCAGAAAGTCCTTCTAAGTTAAGAGAATTATTCGCAATAATCATAATTTTCTGCCCATCGTCTGAACTTCAATCTTTGTGGGAACAGTTCAGAAATGATTTTTGTGATGATATTCTTCATACAAAGCGCCCTCAATTAAATGACTCGCAACTTTTTCTGATGAAATATTTAATAGAGGTTTGATTGAAATAGAAGATAAAGTTGTTCGTCTATCTGAAAAATATTTAACTGAATTTGGAATGAACTCACCTGTTCGAAATGAAAATGCATCTGATCCTTTTAAATTCTCGATTTTGCTTTTTTACGATAATAACCAATAACAAGAATTTGTAGAAATTAATTTACCAAAATTAGTAAATGATCAAAAATATGCTTTTAATGTTATTACAGAAAGAGTAATGAATCATCAAGAAAGATGGGTGGTACAGAAAAAAATATTACTAATTAATTTGTTATTGGCTCAAATTAGATCCTCGGTTAAAGTTGCATTAGCAGTTGCTTCATCTGGTATAGTAGCGACTCTTCTTAGTGGTGGCAGAACTACTCACTCGACTTCAAGTTACCATTAATTGTATTATTTGATACAGAATATGTTTGTCTGATTTGTAAAAATGGCCCTCTTGGAAAAATTCTTCAAGAAACCTCATTTGTTGTGTGGGATGAATGTACAATGAGTCACAAGTCACATATTGAAACAATTTATCAAACATTAAAAAATCTTAAGTGTAATAATAAGCTTATGGGGGGCATAACATTTGTTTTCGCTGGTGATTTCCATCAAACCTGACCAGTGATCCCTAAAAGTACTCGAGCTGATGTCATTAATGCTTGCTTAAATCTTCCCCTGTATAGAACAATGTTGAAAAACTTTATTTGTGAACAAACATGAGATTTTATTTATGCGGAGGAGACAATATTTTCCCAGTACAGTTGTTAAAAGTTGGAAATGGAACTTTAGAAAATGAAAATTGTTACATTTCTGTCAATCACTCGATTGAACGGGAGGTAAATAATGTGGAAGAGTTGATTTCTGCAGTTTATCCTGACATTTTTAATCTGTCCAATAAAACTTATCAGTGGTTATGTGAAAGAGATATTATCTCTGAGAAATGTAACAGCAGAAGAAATCAAAGATATCATCCTTCTAAAATTTGATGGACACTTACGTTAATATCTATATAATGATACAGTCACATCAGCAGATGATGCTATTCATTATCCACAAGAATTTCTCAATTCTCTTTCTCCTTAGAAATTTCCTCCTCATAAGTTAAAATTAAAGATTAGTACTCCAATTATTACATTATTACGTAATCTTCAACCACCAAACTTATGTAACGGTACAAGATTACAAATAAAATCATTGCAAAATAATATTATAGTAGGCGTCATTCTTACAGGGCTTAAAAGAGAAATTGCATTTATTCCAAGAATTTCTATGATTCCATCTGACTTGCCGTTTTCTTTCAAACGCTTCAAATCCCTGTTAAAGTTTCTTTTACAATTATGATAAACAAAACTCAAGGTCAAACATTTAGATACGTTGGTGTACATCTTCGAACATAGTGCTTTTCACATGGACAATTATATGTGGGATTTTTTCGAACTGGGGACCCAATCATCTTATGATTTTAATTTCAACATGAGATAAAACAAAAAACGTTATATACTCAGAAGTTCTATAAAAAATTTTTTCAACCATAAATTACTCAGCATTTATTTTTTATCTGTATTTATTTTTAATAAAAATATATTTGTCATTGATCCTAACAGAAACATTTCAATGTTTTTACTAACCGTTTTTTATATTAACTAACCAATATAATTAAATGATAGAATTTGAACAAAAAATTCTATATATCATTATCTGAAGGCAAATTAAACAACTAATCACGGGTGAAGCTGTGATGGGTCGGCTGGTCTATATACATAAAACTAAAATGTAGACTACATTTAACTTACTTATTAACTAAATCATCTAAGACAAATGTATCTGCTGTTTTCATTAGACTTAATGTGAAACTATCACCTTTAGAAAAATCTACTTGATCAGTGTAGATCCATTTCAGCAATGCTTTTCCAACATCTAAGGGCAATGTGGTCCAATCTGAATAAAAATAAAAACATACATTATAATAAATAATAATACACATGTGCATGTACATGTTAAACAATATTTACCTAAATAATTAACTTTAGTTAAATCAGGAATTCCCCATTTATCACTTCGAGATGACAAAACAAACTTGTGAGCTGGAACATCACCATTAGCTAATGCTATATTTAAATCACTAAAAATATACATTTAGGTATAACTAATCAATAAGGTACACGCATAGGTTACTTAACGTAAATATAAAAATTAAAATAATACCTATAAAGAGTATTGTTATATAATGTTGTTACTGTTTTTAAAAGTCTGGAAACAAAACTTTTATCATTACAATCGCCATATGTAGCAGCTAATGTAGCATGTTTTTTTTCTAATTCATTGCAATAAGCTTGGAGTTTAACATATTCTTCTTTCAATAAGGAAAGATGCTGTTGCTGTTTATGTTTATCAGGGTCTCCGGACATTCCTTGAAAATAAAAAAACAGAAAAAATATGATTGTATTTTTATGGTCAATAATTATACATACAATTTAAATAGAATAATCAAGAAATTTCAAGACAAATACTTTTCAAAAAAGAATATACTTATTTAAAATATGTGTGATGGACTTGTAACTAACTAAAGATGTGTGTTATTGATTAATGATGATGATTTTTAAAAAAATATAATATCAAATTAAAAGAAAAATTTACTGAAAAAGTAAATAAAATTATGTTGATTTAATACTGTTTAGCTTTGATATCTAAAAAGTTTTTATTAAAACTCTATAGAAAAATATTTATTGTAAATAATTTAGAATATATATCTCTTTTATTAAACTGAAATTAATAAATTACAAATCATTATAAAAGAGCTTGAAAAATACCAATTTCCACAAAATTCAATACATATAAATATAAATAAAACAAGTATTATTAAATTTGATTACTATAAAACTAATATTTAATAATAATAATAATAATAATAATTTAATTTAATTTAAATATATTTCAAACAAAGATAAAACTCTACAAAAAAATTTTAAACTCTAAAAAATAAATACATATTTAATTTATTATTTTCAAATAGAAATTTTTCAATTCTATATTTGTTTTACAATTTTAAAAAAAATTCGATGATCATTTACAAGAAATAAATCTCTTTAATTCAACAATTGATACAATTTGATACAATAGTTATTAATTTCCTTGTTTTCCTGTAGAATCAGTTGATATAAGGTAGATAATATAATTATAATAAACTACTCATTAGATATGATTAATCTATTTTTTGATCGAAAAGTAAAAAAAAATGTACAATAACAACTTCTACAATTTCAATTATAACACAATAAATCAGTAATATGAGTATATCTATAGTGATGACGGGAAACTCCCACTAATGGTGTGTATATTCCACACACTCTTGACTATGATTAGTATTTGATTGATCAGTTTTTTTCAATTCCATGTTTATTTTAAATTTTTATTGTTCATTTTTCTTTCTGCCTTTTTGTGGATGGACATCAACGATAAACCGATGTTATTTGCATATTAAATAAGGTGAAATGGGCTACGAGAAGAAAAATACTAACCGGAAGCGGAAACTAAAACTAACCTTCTCGATATAGTTCGGCAGCTGGCATTATTGTCGGGCTGTGTTAGCCACGATTGATCACATCGGCTTTATCTAACCAGAAAAATATAAGACTGATTGATTGACTTTCTTACTCTGATCGTATTTATTGCAGATTATTATAAACGCGGTCTGTAAGTTCACACAACCAATATAATATATTAAGTATACTGAAATATAATAATATCAAAGGAGAATATTGAAGAGAAAAAAAAAAATCACCGACTGATAAGAGAATATACCGTGGTTATTCACTCTTATATAACCACATAATAACCACCGATGGCATTTGATAATGCTCTATCACTAAATATTCTATGCAAGCCATCGAGATCGATAAACAATACTGGAGCGCGCCCTTACCAATATCGACTGTGAGACGAAAACGGGCCATGTCTTAAACGTTATACCCACATCTGCAGGGTAAAATAAATAGCGATACACTTGAGAACGTACTAGACAACATAAACGCCTCATAACAATTTGAGTACTTCCACTCATCCAATTTTAAAAATTAAAAACTATTTGAACTTGTGAAGAAGCCTATATCGATATAGTTTTAAACAGAAAAAACATCAATGCAAGTAGAATATATTATTTATACTATTTAAATTTAAAAACGACAAAACAAAATAGAATATACTTATATATATATATATATATATTATATGCAATTATATAGGCAAGAAATGTATACAGTTGATACAAATATATAATACTATTATTTAATTTTATTAAAATCTAAACAAATAAAACAATACAATAGACAGGTTAATTTATGTATCTACTGAATCTCAATAAAAGAGTCATCTCTAAATGTTGATCAGCTATTAAATTAATTCTCTTATTCAATAATATTTAATAATATCATTCTAATTTAATAATATCTTAGATTATGGAATAATTCTAAAAATAATAGAGTACAGTTATTATTAAGAATTATTTAAGGTCTATTTACACATAACCGTTCCGTATCTGCACCGTCCGTTCCGTGTCCGGCGCTTAAAGTTTGTTTACTTTTTATACAATGGGCATGTTTACATAGGTCCGTTCCGTATCCGCACTGCCCGTGTCCGTGCTTTAAAATTTGTCGGGGACAATGTTTTTGAAGATTTCACTGATACGGATATGGAAAATACAGAATTATGTAAACAGCCGTCAGTGACAACTAACAGCTTGATCGGTTTTCATACCTACTCGCGAGACGTATTTATAAAATTTAAAAAAAAATTTTAAAGTTTAAAGTATATAAAAAGTTGTTTATTCAAAAACTTGAGTACCTACATTTAAATCATGTGTACCAATATCGACGAAAAAATTATAGAAATGGTTCGTTCTCATATAGAATTATACGACCTTTCACATCCAAAATAAATGGACAGTGCACATAAAGATGAAATTTGGAGTTCTATTGGAAATGAAATAAATCTAACAGGTAAGTGGTATTTGTTTGTACTTCATTATGTATTTTTTAATATAGATATCATATTTTCACTAAACAACTGTTAAAAGTTTATATTTAAATTATTATTTCATTAAAAAAAAAATCATTAACTGTAAAAATAATAAATTTAACAAAAGCATTTTATATTACTTATACCTACCTATTCAAGATTATATTTTAATAATTGATATACACATTTGAAATAAACAATTGCTAATAAAAACAGTATGCAATTTACATAAAAAAAACTTCAAAACACAACTGTGAAAAAATAAACTTATAATTATTATTTTTGCTGAATTACTTTAATAATAAATACTTACCCTATACGACGTAATAAACAGTAAAATAAAATATAGTATATATAAATATATAATATAGAAGTAAGTAATAATAGATAATAATATATAATAATAATAGTCATAATAATAGATGCATTTTTACGTCGTTAATTTTTTTCATTTTGCCATGATACAGATCCTGCTGGAGAATTAAAAAATTCTCTATATAATTCTCGTGTTGCAAACGCTGCCTGCCCAGCTCTACCGCCTTGTATAGGTATATTATTTAAAGTAGTATTTGAAACTGATTCATTTGTATTTTGAAAAATTTCATTGGTACAATTGCTGTACTTTTTTATAAAGTTGTGAAGAACACAGGTTGCTAAAATAATATAGTCCACGTTTTCTGGTTTAGACTGTATCCTTCTGTTATAAATATGACATTTTTAGGCTAGAATTCCAAAACAATTTTCGACTACTCTTCGTGTTCTACAGAGACGATAGTTATAAATTCGTTTGGATAAGTCGTCAAGTTGCTTCTCAGGATACGGTCGCATTAAGTATGTTTTCAGTGGAAACGCTTTGTGGCCTAGTATAACGTACGGTGCAGAATAATTATTATTATTGAGGGATAACTTCAGGCATTACATTTTTTATAATAATTTGACAGGTATCAATTACTATTTTATAAACAGTCGCGTGACCAAGACGGTAACTTAAGGAAATTTTCTTAAACGAATCTCCCGTTGCTAAAAACCTAAATCAAAAACGAGTGATCAAATGAATAACGCTCTGCTGTAAAATAGGTCACTATCATTTGTGTTAAATTTAAATCCAATGATAGTTATCATTGTATACGAAAAACGAACGGAAATGATTTGTTAGCATAGGATAAATTTTCCAGTGGGTGGTGAAAAAGGTGGTTTATGTTTTATTTGTCTGAATACACCAAAATTTAAGTTCTTTTATAATTATTGTAAGCCAAACTTATGAAAAATCTTGTATTAAATTTTCAACTCTTAGCTACGCATACAACATTTTTTATACATTTTAACTAGGTAAAAAAAATTTACAAGTATTCATGATTTTGACGAATTTTTGTTAATATTTGAGCTTCAAATGCTAATAAAAAAAATTGTGCCTATGTATTCTTATAATTTTTTAATGACTATAAAACTAACTAATGAGGAACTTTTTATTAAATTTTCAAATATTTTGACTTGGCCAAAAAAATATTATAGATATTAAAAAAAAAAAAAGATTTAAACAAAAACGAAAATTTCAAATATCTGTAAATAGCCTTACAATAAGCGAAATATTTTGAAAATTAAATTATGTTATTATGTTAAAAAAATGACAATCTAAAGAACTGTAGAAATTTTTAAATATCTACGACGTATAATTTTTGAATAATTACAAATATTGAAAATCGTTTGAGAATAAATCGTTAACGTTATGTGATTTCCTAAAAATTAAAAATTAAAACGTTTATAACATTTTTTTTATAATGAAGCTTCAAGTTTTCTTTAAAGCTATTTGAAGCAAAACCTTTGGAAAACTTAGTGTTGAATTTTGAACATTAAATATAAATACTTACAAACATTTTTATGAATTTTCAACTAGGTACAAAATAACTTGCACATTTTCGTGACTTTTACATATTTCGTAAAAATTTGAATTTAAAACGTTCATAAAAAATAATTGGGCACGATTTTTGATTTTCTTTAACTACAATAAAAACGATTTATAAGAATCGTTATATTAAATTTTCATGTTTTTTTTTTTTTTTTGGACATTTAAAATTTTTTTATCGACACTACCAAAAAAAAAAAAAATAAAATAAAATAAAAATACTTAGAAAAATCGAAAATTATAAATATATTATACTCTTATTAGAATTAAATTTCAAACGGTAAATTATAAAACAAATATATTTTTTTTTTTAAAATTTAATAAGATTGGCCTCGCGAAGATTCCATCTCGGCAATTCTGGTTTTTTAATTCTTGGATAGGTTATACCTATGTCTAATACCACTGTATACTAATTGAGTCCTTATACCTGAACGGGAAAAAAATAATATACTAATTGAGTCCCGGGTACAAACGAGACATATACTAATTGAGTCCGTGGTTAGGAAACTAATTGTATACGAATTGAGTCCGAGGATTATTTTGAGTAAAATATGAAATAACCATCCAGAGTCCAGGCACAGCGAAAATTATGAATAATAATAAAAATAATAATAAATAATAATAATAATAAAAATAATAATAATAATAATTAAAATTATGCTGCACAGCCGCTCCATACGGATATACCTATATATAAATATCATTCATATCATTTTTATGACTTTCGTCAGATAATATAGTAACATATCATACTATGGGTCGGGAATTTTAGATTTTATTTCTATCATCGCTTGTATAATAATCACCGTCTACCGATATCATTTTTGATATAATTTTACGGGACTCAGTTAGTATTAAAACATGGACTCAATTAGTATTATACCTATAATTTCACTGGACTCAATTGGTTTATACCCTAAAACAACCCGGGACTCAATTCGTCATAAAAGGTTATACTAGGACTCAGTTCGTAAGCAGCCTCTAATACTACTGGTCGGTGCTGACTTTTTGGGAATTTGTTCAGTATTATGTGTGTGGTTACTAGTGGCTGACCTGTCTCGTCACTTGTGGCGAAACATAGGTCTGGGGATGTTGTTGTTCCCCATCCGCCTGAGTCAAAAGTACCTCCCTGTTTCGCATCGTAAATTAGGAACGTGCGATTTATTTGTGACCAATTAACGAGTCGCTCTCCGTCTTCGTCTTCTGAGGAGTATCCCCATTCGGTACTATGTGCGTTAAAATCACCAATGTAAACCCCAGGGTTTTGACATCTTGGGAGCATAGAGAGGCTCCAAGTACTCGAGGGGGGCTTATAAACATTAAATATCGTGATGTCAAACTAGGAAAAATACACCAAATACGTCGAAGAAAACATCAACCGCATCAAACCAACTTACACTTTCGTACAACTTTCGTTTAATGTCATGTCAATAATTAATTATTATACAAAAAAATAACACAGATTATGTTTATTCTTCGTACTCTTTCAAAACGTTAGCACCAATGACCAACCTCTGGATCTCTGATGTTCCTTCGTAAATTTCTGTTATTCTAGCATCACGGTAGTACCTCTCGGCCGGCATATCCGTTACAAAACCCATACCACCCAAAATTTGTATACACTGATGTGAATTAAATGTGGCCGTTTCTGATGCGGCGAGCTTTGCCATTGCCGCTTCCTGGAAATTGAAAGAAAAATTAAAATTGACATTGAATAATCTATGAATAAACAAACAACGTTAAAAGCAAAGCTATACAGTACTGATACATAAAACCCAGTAAAAGTATATTGAGTTTGAACCACTAACATTTTTTGATATATTTAAATAATTGTAGTGTAGATAAAGATATTGAATTTTTCGGTTTTCACTCTTTATTTAAATATTACATGAATGCATATCAAGATTTCAAATATGAAATAATTAGAAAGTTGAGCATATTTAAAATATATATCAACTATTAACTATTTCGTAAATATTAAAATAAAAGTACTAATCAGATATTTGACGGTGACTATTGTGAAAAATTGTTGAACGCCGGACATTATACTGTTTTGAGAGTAGAGTCGTTCTCAGGATTTTTAACCGGGAGAGGGATAATAGTATAAACATTTATTAAAAATTGAGCGGCGGGGAATGAGCCCCAGCACCCTCTTTCTAATATAAAAAATATACAATAAATTACAATATATTATATGTAACAGGCGCGTAGCTAGGTATTTCAAAAAGAGGGTGTTATTAAAAATTATACACAACAAAATAAATACTTTACGTATACTTTATTGTACAAACATACAAACACATTAGTACCAGTGGCGGATTTAGCGTTTTAGCGCCCCTAGACGTAATCACTCTGCCCCCCCCCCCCATCACTCTACTAAGGAACCAAAAATATTTGGTCTAAACCCTTCTTTTCAAATTTTATTCAGTTTTTTTATCAAAAAAAAAAAATATATAAAATATAAAATCTTTATAATAGAAAACTTCTAAAAATAAAATATTTAATGTCTATTATTTTACTTAATTCTATAAAAAAAAGCCGCTCTTGGCTATAAGTCTTTTAGCCTGCCCCTAATCCGCCACTGATTAGTACATTACACATGAATATCTATTCATGTATAATGTACTATTGTATGAGAAAGCAGTGGTGTAGCCAGGATTTTTAAATGAGGGGGCTAACCACTTTTTTTGGATAAGTAAGGTAAGAGAGAATATGAGAATTCACCCTTGACCTCCCCCCTCACCATCTACCACCAGGTTTCTAAACGTAATTCAAGCATTTTAGTATAGTTTTAGAAATATTTATTAATATATAATTTATAATAATAATAATAATTTTAGTTTCAGTGTTCAGTCACTTGTTCCACTGACAGCTGCATCCTCTTAAGCGAATTTCTGGCAAATTCAGTTATTATTTCACTTTCATCGAATTGCTATTTTTTATTTATATTAGCCATAGCTAACCCATTCAGTCTGTTTTCCGACAGGGTGCTTCTTAAAAAAAATTTTAAACGATTAAGTGCTGAAAACGTTCTTTCCGGAGTGAGAGGTAACTGGTAATGTGGCGAATAATTGTAAAAGTATTTTAATGTTAGGTCGAAGATTGGTGCGATGAGAGAGTGAATCAAGAGCAGAATTCGGTTTTGGAATAGTATTTTGACTCCATTGTTGCCTCCATATGAACAGGTCAGCTCTGATTGTAGATGAGGTATTATCATCACTGGACATATATTTTAGCAGCTTTTATAATATTTTTATCGTCATACATATTTAAATTGGCCGGAATAAGTTCTTCAAGTGGCATAACATTAATAAGCCTTTGATTAAAACGAGCATTGATTCTATTAAATAGTCAAGATACATTATACATATAAACACGGCCCATGGGGGAGGCTATAGCCCCCTTAGCCCCCCTCCCCCTTGGCTACGCCACTGTGAGAAAGTATTTAAATATTTTATTAAAATTTCAAATTTACATTTTTGTCATATGTACCTATTTCAAATCCCTCATGATACGACATAAAACCAAGGCTTTGGTTTATTAGACAAAACGATGTAATGAGAAGCCGGATCCGGCTTTACATTATTGTTATGTATATATTTCGCTATGATAAATATATTTTCATCATTGCTTATGATCAATTTTTACCTTTATCAGACTTCAGTATACTGTTAACACGGTTAAGGGGGGGGGTGTTACGGATTGGGACAAAATATCATGTAATAAAATATCCAAGTCAAAATATCCAACGGATAAAATATCCAGGGATAAAATAACCAATATATAGGGCAAAATATCTAAATAAAAAAAATTATAAAAATCTATATTGTTAATACCTGCATAATTTTTTTTATTTAAATACATTATTGTTCATTTTTAGATCACATTTTAATAACATTTATTATTAATAATACTTTATAATACAGTTATAAAATAGTAATAATAAAAATAATATGTTGTGTTATATAATAATTATATCTTTAGTTTTATGTAGTGCGTTACAACGTAAAATAGTTTTATTTTTACTTTTACTATTTTATTACTATATTATAAAATATTAAATAATGTTAATTTTGATTTAAAAATGAACAATGTATCTAAATAAAAAATAAATAAAAAATAAAATAATTATGTACAGATATACAGATTTTTATTATTTTTTTATTTAAATATTTTGTCCTATACATTGGTTATTTTATCCGTTGGATATTTTAACCTTGGATGTTTTGACTTGGATATTTTATTACAGGATCTTTTGTCCTAGATTCGGGTGTTGCTACACCTGTAACACCCCCTGGCTACGTGCCTAATATGTAACGTGTGGAAAATAATAAGTCAAAATAATATTTATGATTATATACATCAATTTGATTATTACCAAAGCTCATAATTTGTAGCTCTGAAAATAGTTGTCATAAGTGCATTAACATGCTTTTATAAACAAATATATAAGCTCTTAAATATACATAAACAATTTATCAAATTTGCTTACTCAGATAATTTAAGTATACCAACAATTACATTAGCAACAAATCTATCTTTGATTTCCGTAATTTTGTGATATTCAAGATAAGATTAAATTTTTCTTATTATCAAGAAAAAACGCTAGGGTACATAAAAAAAGAAAAATAGCACTAAAACATTGTAATACACAAAAATATGCATTATAACATTGGATTTACCTTATAAGTTATCTGAAACAAATTTATAGCTCACACAGGTATCTCTAGTACCTCTAAAAAAATATATATGCAAATTCTAGAAATTATGAGCCTTGGTTATTACTAAATTTAGTTGAACATTAACATACAATCCATTAAAAAAATATTAAGGAGAAATCCATCTTCCATAACTCTCCCCTCCCTCCGTGAGAACGCCAATATTTGAGCATTAAGAATAGAACACTTTTGTGGAGTGTAGTAAATTAAATTAAGTAATAAACAGTGTAACCGTATAAAACACGTGAAGTGAACAGTGTGAATTCCTATACAATAAAAAATAGATTCACGTTTCATAAAACGACTATTTTTTCAAGAAAAAATTTTACTTTTGAGTGCGGTTTGCTGTTGTCTTTTAGAAAAGCTGCTCGCCAAGTCAAAAGTCTAGCGCTCTCCACCCTTAACGCCATATCAGCGATTTTGTTCTGTAAAAGAAAAATGTTAATCTACTGTTTAAAGTGATTCATCAAATTCAATGATATATACTTGTATCGTCTGCAACTTGGCAATCGGAGTTCCGAATGCGTTTCTCTTGGACGCGTAATCGACGGCCAATTCTAAGGACGCTTGCGCAATACCACAGGCCTGGGCGGCGATACCTATGCGACCCCCATCTATAATCAATCGAATAAGCATTTTTCGACTGTAATTTTTCAAAAATGTACGTAAAAAATAATTTACAGGATATAAATAATATATTAATTTCAAGACTGAGTGAATTGCGTGTTAGTATATGATAAGATGGCTTTGTACCCATACAATTATACACGGGATGACAGTAGTCATTTTGTTTTTCTAAATATTTTTCTCTCTATCTTATATTTATATATTTTCCAAATGCGGTCAGTACAAATAGTTTTTTTTATAAATTTTAATTATTTACATAACAATCAAGAGTGAGAACGTGTAAGTAATTTAAAACATGATGTACGGTCCTGAAAACCGTTTAACTTACCCAACAATTAAATATTAAGTAAGTAAAGAAAAATGTACATCAATGTTATACATTAACTTCGACATACTAAATAAATCCTAAACAATGGATGATTATTAATTTATATTGTTTTAGCTATTAATAATAAATATTTGTATTATGTGTATACAAACACAATATTTTATGTCATTCTCCAGTGTAAATATCAGTTGAGTTTTCCTTACCCAATAACATCATCGCATAGTTGAAGCCTTTTCCTAGCTCTCCAAGAACGTTTTCTTCAGGTACAGAACAGTCTTCGAATATCAAATTACACGTCGACGATCCTCGTATGCCTAACTTGTTCTCTTTTTTCCCAATGGACAGACCTGCAACGGTGTGAAACGCCATGTAAGCGCTAATTGTGTAACACGCACGATGTAAGTGCGGCCGTACCAGGGGTAGCCTTTTTCAGCAAAAAAGAACTGATGCCTTTGTGTTTTTTCAATTTATCAGTGGATGCGAATAAGACTAACGCTTTCGATTCCAAACCATTTGTGGTCCACGATTTTGTACCATTTATCACGTACGAAGAACCGTCTTTTGTAGCTTTTGTCGCCACCGAACCGGCGTCGCTTCCCAGACCTTGCAATTTTTTATTTTATTTGTAATTAAATATAACGATTAAAATAATAGTACAATGTACTTAGTACCAGGGCTTGAAACCTTTATGATTTATCCGGTTTTGGTTCCAATTAGGTTATTCAAAAAAAAATTCATTTAAAATTTTAAAACATATGACTGTAAAACGTTCTTCTGATTAAATGTTCAAGAACGTACTATTTCAAAACGTTCTTCTAATTAAATATAAAAAAACGTATTATTTCGATAAGTTCTTTTGATTAAATGTTCAAGAACGTAATATCTCAAAACGTTCTTCTAATTAAATTTACAAGAACGAATAACTTAACAAGGTTTATTAGAACTTTAAATTTTTTACGGTTTTTTGGTGAACATTTCAAAAAACATAAACAATTTTAACATTTATCTAGTAAAATGTTCGGTGAACCATTTAATTTATAACGTTATAATCTAAAACCGTTTGTTGAACATAACTTGTTTTAATGTTTATCACAAATAAATTTCAAAAACAAATTATGGAACTGAACCAAAAATTAACGGTTAAGGTGACTCTGAGATCGCGACGGCACGACGAAACAGTAATATTTGATATGAGTGGTAGCGGTAAGGAGGGATCTCTCACATACTTGCACGCACCAGTCAATGGACAATTTTGTGATCACGAAAAAAAAAATGTTTATTTTTTACTCAGACAACTCTAACTAATTCTAACTCTAACTCTAACTTTAATACCAACAATGCATTGCAACGATTCTACGATATTACTAGATGTCGTCGTCCAAAACTATTTATAAATTATGAATTATAAGAAAATAATCATAACTACGGGTTTTACAAACCGACGGCAATGTGCAAATAACATTAAACTATTATTATTTATTAGCTAAATATATAAAATAGAGACAAAACTGGCATCCAAAAAAACCGAAAAATTACCTTAAGACAAATATCGGTTCGGATTCCCGTTTAGATTCCTAAGAAAATTAAAAAACGATTTCGATAAGGTTCCGGTTAAAATACCGGTATTCTTAATTTCGGTTTCAAGCCCTGTTTAGTACATACGTACACGTCCAGTATGTTATAAACTAACAAAACGCGAGCATTAGTCTAAGTAGTTTTTTATATTTCTACCAACTATTCTAACTATTCTATAGTTTTCTTTGATCAAATTATACATAAATACCTGGCTCGCTTAAAGAAAATGAACCTATGTTTTTACCATCCGTAAACGGCTGAAGGAATTCTTCTTTTTGCTTATCGTTACCGTAATTGTTAACCGCATTCATGTACATGTTGTGCACGGCCATTATGGCACCTGTGGAAGCACAGCATCTAAAAGTAAAATATTATAATATAGTTTCCATAACGGATTTACTTTACCGTTGACAGTGACATAAAAATCATAGGCGGTGCACAACACTGAGGCCCGCAGAGTCAAAGGGCCCATAGAAGATAGCCGTCAATTTTTTTTTTATTTGATTTAATTTGATTCATTATTATTGTATTATTATCTTTTATTTAATTTTATATAACAAAATGTAAAGTATGGTCCGTTTTATTTGGAATTGTTTATCTAAATATTGGAAAAAATACTAAGCCTAGAGTAACATAGATTACTTTTATATATTTATATACTTTTATATTTTACTGTAAATTATATTTATAAAATCAATAATCATATATTCATATTATACATTTTATCTATCCTTGTAGTTTATTCTACAAGTTTTTTTGTATACCTACTAAGTTGAAACTTTACACAGAATTGTTTCAGCGAGAAAATTATCTATAGGTTCTTTAAAATTCAATACATCCACAAATACTATCCGATCTAAGGAGTAAAAAATGCCCATACTGTGAAGTCAGTCCGACTCTTTTATGTATCTCAAGAAAGACATACATTTGTCTGTACCTGGGTCTTAGACATTCTAGTTGCAGCACTGATCGTTGATAAATAGTGAATTCAATATTATCCGGTTTACCTAGAAATCTCTTCCACCGCTATAGCGTAAGACATGTAATCAAGACCGGTTCCACCAACATTTTCAGGAACACAGATACCCATTAGGCCTAATTCACCCATCTCTTTGATCTAGAAAGAATATAGACATTTCAGGTTCAGTATGATGTAACAAATTTACACTTTTAATAATTGTTATGGTTATTAATTACAACTTGTAGAAAATAATATTATTTATCTCGCTTTAAATTTAAAATAATTTTTGCATTTATAAATCGGTACGACATATTATTCAAATAACATTACTAAATAAATTCGGACCATTTATAAACATTACAGTTTTTAGGTAATTTTCAGTTTAATATCAACATACTTGTTTTTTCGGAAACATTTTTTCGCGATCAGTTATGGCGGCAATAGGTTTTAGTTCTCCTTCGGCAAAATCTCTGCATGTTTTATATAATAATTGATGCGTTTCTGACAACGATGCTAATGATGCTATCTGTTTTCCTTGCTGGTTTTGTGGAAACCACTTTAATATGGCATTAGGGAATACTTTATTTCCTACTCCTAAAAATCATAACAGTTATATTATAACACAATAAATACCGGAGAGCAAATATTATATTAATTACTCATACGATTTATAATAACAATTTATTTATTATAAAAATATTTAAAAGTTACTTATAATTTATATTTGTATTTACTTACAATATTATTATAATTTAGTGTATTATAAACACTATATTATGAACACATTACATTCAGTGTCAGCCTGGGATATGAAAGGCATAGGCAGGGATTTTTTTTAGAGTCTTAATTTTTTATCAAAATTAACCTAAGATTGGGCTGAAATTGTGAAAGTCATGTTTCGTGGTATCATACTTACATACAAAATATATACATGAATATTTTTGTAGCACATTAAATCATTCTACCAACATAAATTTTTTTTATTCATAACGTAAGTAATCTTTTTACTGTATCGGATGAACCAGCAATGCAATTAATTCTGTTTTTATGTTATAAAAAAAAAAGAGCCTTTAACAATACTCAGTACCCTGCGCTATTATGTCTCTGTCCATCACTATTTGAGATGCCTATGCTAGAATAAAAAAAAAAAAAAAAGGTGAAGGTCTCGACAACGTTCGCTGCCTCGCTGTCCTGGCCAGGCCGACACTGCTTACATTATTATAATCAATATATTTTGAGAATGCTTTAGTTATAATAGTTATAACTATATTTTTAATTAAAGTAATAATTATATACAATTTAATGTACCTTGTTATTAACTAATATTTTTATTTATTTATACAAATGTTATAAATCGAAAATTTAACTCATTCTCAATCAGTCAATTTTGAAAATAGAGCAAAACTTTAAAGGTCAAAGTTGCTTGAAAAAATACACATAATTCAAATTTGAACTCAAAAATGGAGGGTGCCTTTTAAAAAAAAATTATTTTATCGCGCATGCGTAGAATTTTTTTTAAAAAATTAAGATTTATCAAAAATAAATGTAATTTTATGTCCTTTATGCATTACAAAAAACCCGAATTGCATACAAGATCATGCGTTTGAAATATTTCGTGTTACCTTTATCATAGAACACGCAGTATATATATATATATTAGGGTGGTCCTTAGATAGAAGAGAAGAAAAAAAAGGTCAATATTTTTAATCCAGGTACCCACCATTTTGATTATTACTATAAGAAAAAATATTAGGCCGAATTTGGTTTCGTTTACCTTACCTCCTTCACGTCCCTCAAGAGGGTTGAAAAATTGCCAAATAGGGTAGTTTAATAGTTTTTTGCATTTAAGTGGAAATTTAAAGAATTTATCGTAAAATACTATTGAACATTTATTTTAGAAATTATAATTTTCTATAAAAAATGTCTTAACAAATTTTCCCGAGAATTCATTAATTTCTAGGAAAATATATAAATAAAAAATATTTATTATGTTTCAAAAAAAAACATTTTTCATAGTTATTTAAATATTATTGATGAATAGTTAAAAATATAATAATAATTATTATTATAAATTAAATGAATACTCATTAAATTAAAATCTTTTTTAATAACTTTAATGAAATACCGATTAACTAGTTAACCTGATGAAATTTTCTCAAATCACTTTTTTTAAAATAAATTAAATTTTAGACAATATTCACAAAAGAATTTATCATATCATCAATCAATCATCAATATTACTTAAATGAATTAATTTTTTAAAACATAATAAATATTTTTTAATTTAAATATTTTTCTAGAAAATAATAAATTTTGGGGAAAATTTGTTAAGACATTTCTTTTAGAAAATTATAATTTCTAAAATAAAGGTACTATAGTACTTTACGATAAATGCTTTAGATTTACACTTAAATGCAAAAAACTATTGAACTACCCTATTTAGTTATTTTTTAACCCTCTTGAGGGACGTGAAGGGGGTGAGTTATCGAAACCAAATTTGGCCTAATTTTTTTTTCTCATGGTAATAAACACAATGGAGGGTACCTAGATCAGCATTTTTAAAGTTGAAAAATTAGGACCACCCTAATATATATATATATGTTTGTCGCCCAGTGAAAATTCCTTATAAAATGCATTGAGACGTGCACACGACCTTCTGTTGTAATTTAATTATATATTTATTCGTAAATATCAAATATAAACTTACTATATTGTTCACTAGTTGTACTCGTATAACCATAGGTACTTCATATTTTGTTAAACATTGTAACTTTATCATCATGTATTTATATATATAATTTTTTTCTCAAAATAGTCAATGTAATATCATAGTACGATTATAGTATTACACGTTTGTTTCGCATTATTTCGCCCAATCTTTCAAAATATTGTCAACAGAGTATAATCACTGGGCGACATTTGTGTCGTCTAGTTAACTAGTTAAAAAATGTACTGGCACGTCTACGCTTTAGTCGACGTATAATATGTGGGTCCCTTAGTCTATAAAATTTCATACTACTAGCAGAGTTGATGTGGTTGAAAAAGCTGACAGTTAATTTTTTCAGTTTTTTCAGTTATTATGTATGGGTATCTGGAAATATTTGTGGAGTGCAGCATTACGAACAAACCATGAAGCATTTAATATCATCCTAAGAACTTTCGATTGAAATACTTGTATTTTGTGCAAGTAAGTTTTAGCACAATTTCCCCACACAAGGACTACATATAAAAGTAGAGATAGTAGGCTTTGTTTATAGATCATAAAAGAACATCTCCAGCTTAATGAGGTTTTTTTGGTTGATCAGTGGGTATAGTATTTTGAACATCTGATATTTTTTAGTCTAATGGTCTAATATTTTTAATTTTCTGGTACATAATATATTGTACATGCGAATAATTATTAAGTATACTATACAGAATACCATACCAGTTTAATAAATCAACATATTTAAACAAATTTTTGTTGACAAAATAACGTACGTATTAAAAATGTTCTACTTTTAATATTTCCCCATCACAACCTCAACTTATGAACTATTTCACAAATTTAACTGCGATGAAAAACGTCCAGTTAACATTTTACAAAACTTGTAGTCAATAATTCGAGTTGATTATGAAAACAATATGTTAGATGAAATCAATTTATTCAAACAGTAGCATATATGTATATAGGTTTTATTCGGATGGGGTCCATCATGTATTTGATTTTTGGGGGGAAAGGAAGGAAAAAACACACTATTACGACAAAAATTACTTGAATACTATAAGACTTCTCGACTATCTTTACACCATCAGAGAAATAAGAAACTCAATTTTTTAATGATTTATAATTTTAAAAAAATATAAAACTACATTATTAATAGACAATTTTTTTATTAGTCTCTTCAAATTCACCACATATTTTCTTAAAAAAAATAAACATATTTTATTTATTTTACATATTTTATAAATATAAAATTTTAAATTATCGCATAAGCAATATTCTTAATGTCACGACAAATTTTCAGAATAACCCCCAGCCTTAAGATATATCCATGTCAAAAATAATAATTTTTGACAATGGTGTTTTTCATTTTGGGGGGGGACTCAGTCCCGCCCCATAAATACGTCTCTGGATTCAAACATTTTTAGGATGAAACAAATTAATTATTGAGTTATTTTAACAGTTTCATAATGGATTTCCGTGTATGTACTATACAGTTAGGTATTTACTGCTAAACATTTTGTTTCAAACGTCACCTAGTTACCTATTCAGACTTCGTTTTTTCGATAGCGTATTCACAATGTAACGTAGTACTGCTTCAGTATGAACACAATTCGTTCATGATAACTCTACAACACTCGACGCTATAAATACAATTTAAATGGACAATAACTTGAATGAAGAAGTTGAAGACAATGGGAGCGATATTCTTGCTGAAGAACTCGCCAGACTTCAACGACAGTATATGCTCATGGAAAGTAACAAAAAAGCGTACACCGAAGAAATGGGTTGTCATTTGACCAAACAGAAGTAACTAAGCACACATAGCCTTTAAATAGCATTAAGCACCACTTCCAATTTAATATATATGTACACACTCACACACATACACACACACACACACACACACACACACACACACACACACACACACAAATACATACACGAATATACAAGTATTACAGTGTAAGCTATGTTAATGTGTTTCAGAAAACTTCTATGCAGCTTAGAACAAGAAAAAATGAATCTGGTAGAGCAGATAAATACGAAAAAAAATAAATACAAAGAAAATAACGACATGCGCTTAAAAGCGTGTTTAGTCGAAAAATGGAATGAATACATGGGCGCCAATGATGATCTGATGGATCAAAAAAAGTGCCTAGTCGATATCGAAAAAGAAATACAGAAGATACAAAACGAATTCGGCCTGATATTCAGACAGCGGGAAGTGTCAGCTGGCAAATCAAAAAACAAAGTAGAATATAACTTACAAAAACACCAAGAGTTACTAGAAAACAAATTACACGTGGTAAGCTTTAAGAAAAAACTTAGGTACTTAGGTAACCTGGGCATAGGTATATTTCACGCGAATAATGACGGAGATGTAACAATCATCTCATTATGGAACGCATTTATTTCATAATAAGTAAAACTGTTTTAGAAAACCGTCAAGTTCAATAAGGTTTTGACAGAAAACGCCCGTTTACGAAATGAAATCGACAATTTACTCGTGCAACGGTCACAATTCAACGATGCGTACAAAGCTCTATCGAAACGACTGGACGATAGCAAACAGATTATGATGGACCTGATAGAACAGGCCACTATGGCATACGAACAAAGGTAAGGTTTGAACACGATATGTGGAGCAAATAGGCATAAGCGCATAAGACGTACAATTTGAGTTGGTTCTCTTCGAATTGACGTTTGGTTAAAAACAGTCTTAATCCTGTTCTTATAAATATGATAATTTATATTTCAGTATCACATTTAACTATGGGTAAATGTTATGCATCTATAATTTATAAATTCTAATTATTTTCTCAAAAAAAATCTAATATATTTGCAGAAAAGTTTTAGTTTGATATCAATTACATGAACGTAATTGATAATTGCTAAAAAATAAAAAATAATTCAGTTTCTTAATTTGAACACATTTTGTATGAAGAATTGTATTTATTGAATTATCATAGGCATGGGAAATAATGGTCATAAGAGTCGTCTACGGGTTGATTAAGCGTTTTACTTTTGGTTTATAGAGAAGATGCTCAAAACAGATTGATAAATATGAGCGAAGAAGATAAACAACAGATTGCTCTGCATAAGGCCGAAGTCAAAGAACTGCAAAGACAATACGATCGAGATATGAAACTTCAAGAATTCTTGTCCATTAAAGGTACATAAAATAATACGTTCGTATCTTTTATTGGAATTATTTTAAAACACACACACACACACACACACCTCGAGTTAATTATTTATCTTCGAATTAGGGTAGTTAATATGTAGACACTCTTAACAAATAACAGATATACACACGAATTCGATTATACATAAATAGTATATTTAAATACTTCATAAGATGATTTTTCCCTGTGTTGAACATATCAGGACAGCATCGTGTGCTGATGGACTTCGAACGGAAAGAAGAAGAGAAGAAACAAAGCGAATTGGGCAACCGTAAGGAACAAGCTGAGAAGTGGGCTGACTTAATGGGATGGTTGTATATGTACGTGGGCGAGAGCAACGTTGACAGGATCGTGGATCTCTTTGTTCGGCAAGAGGAGGAGAATTTTGCGTTGTTCACGTACATCAACGAGCTGAATAGTGAAGTACGTATACTTTTATAAATATATTATTTACTATCGAAAATAAACGGATTTTTTTAATTTTATTGTATGAATTTTTCGAATGAGACGAAAAAGAAAAATGAGAAAAATACTCAAACATATGATTACAATAATATGCAGATAGAACCATATTATTTTTACAACAAGATTCAGATATCGCAATCTATTCGATTTATATTTTATACTTATATGTTAATTAATTACAAATTCTAAAATTCAATTTCGTCCTCAGTTATACTACTTACAATGTATTGAGTATTAACGTTTTGTAGTGTATTTAGTCTCTACGAACTCATCGTTTCAGGTAGATGATTTGCAGAAAGAAGTATTGGCGCTAAAGAACCGAGTGAATGAGCAGCGGACAGTTAACGAGTCAAGAGCATCGAAACAAGAGGATAATATGAACGGATTGAAAGCACATCTGCAACAACTGTCCGACGAAGCCAGCCGGGAAGCCAATCGGATAACAACCGTGCACGAAGAGTTGACAAAACTGTTGAGATCCGTAGAGAAACTCTTTATGTATGTTCACTGCGACCTCTCTCCGATGTACAAGATACTTGGTAAGTGATATATTGTTTAGCAATATGTGTATATACGCCTAGGTATAGGTGATAAATATTTCATGGCACTAAGACACCACTCACAAGCGTTAATACCTTACATAAAAATAAGCATATGACACGGATACGATGACCTACTCGAACGGTATTTTAAAATTTTTTTTTTAATGACGACTGAACAATGAACAGCTGTGGGAATTTCATTGAAAGCATTAATATATTAGGTACATTCAGGGGCGCAATTTCAATGAAAACATTTATGGTGCTTAAGCTCATCTTTTTTTTTTTTATGATATTATCTTAAGGTTATGGATACATGTTACTATTAAAATCTAAATTAACATGAAACAATTTGGGGATACTAAGCACACCCAAGTCCCACCCCGAATTGCGCTTATGAGTACATTTTAAAAAAATAATTTTTCTCGTTCTTCATTAAAAACATGGTATGCAAATAGCTACTTTGATTTTGTGTTCTGATTCATCGGCGTGTTTTTTTTAAATGTCCAATTAAAAAAAAAAAAGAAAACAATTTGAAAAATAAAAACTAAAAAAGTGACTATTTTGATAGGTACAATAAAAATACAACAAGTAAAATATGCTTCGATCTGGCAACAATTAAAAGTACGGATTTTAACCTACGCAGATAATGTAAATTATAATAGATATATTATTAGTAATGTATTACATCTTGCTTTAGAAATTTAATTATTAAGCATACAAATTATAATAAGTTATATAATATCAGTACTATATCAATACATTTTATTTTAATTATTTTTATATAGGATATATATATTTACATATACATATACCTATACATTTCCAATGAAATATTTTACTAAAATATATTTAACCAAGTCTAACAATTATTACCGTACTCGGTTATAGCTTCAATAGTGGAGGCTACTGTAATGTAAAGCTACTAATTATCGTAATTTCTGACAGGTATAAATTATTTGATATATTATAAAAATATTTAGTTTTGTTTTATGGATTGTATACTTTATTCATTGGTGCTATTAAAAAACTATACAATAAAAAAAAATTAACTAAAAACTATACAATTTATTAAAATGTTCGTGTTGTAAAACGTTACACAAACATTTTAAATTATTTATTATCTGTAAGTCCATAAATATATTCATATTTCAAAAGAAAATTGTTATAAAAATATCCAGTCGGGATTTTAAAAGTATACATCAACTCTCGTTTGAATTTCAATACCTTCACACAACATTTTTCTTTTTAACCAAATGAAAAAAAATCTTTTAATTTTAACACAGTTCTAATATTTTCAAATTATTACTATTTCTTGAAAAATAAATAAGCTAATTGTTAAATTTTAAAATTAGAATGTCTTAAAATTTAAAAACGCGTAATACAGTACAAACAATATGGTATGAACACAAAATAGAGCTAACGCGAGAACTCAACGGAGATAAAATGTACTCACTAGTGGCCGTATACATGTTTTATTGATAGAGTTCTAACACCACAAGGACGCACGCGGCAGCGTTTATTCAATCACGCGCGGCAATATATTGCACTGAACTAACGTATCTGTCAAAATACACGTTTACTGTGCGTTTACTCACGTTACGATCGTCAGACGATTGGATTAAAAATATAAACTTTGAAATAGGTCAAGCTCATTATTGATGCATGGAAATCTAATGGCAGACCTCGGTAACAGGCCATCTATATTATCGATACACCTATATAATACGCGTGTATAATGTACTACCTACAATGTTCCAATTAAAAATGAAATATTTTCGTAAACTATTACAACACTTGAGTAAAAATGTAATACAGTGTAGTATAGGTAACCTACCACTAATTACCATTCTATGTAATACCATTGATTATGTATTAATTATATACATATTAGTAACATAAAATAAACGGTAATACGTACTCTGTAATCACAGTTAGGTACGTCACAGAAGTTAAAAACGAAATGGCTCGATTAGATATATAATATAATAATATAACGCGTTTTGATCAAGTATCTGTTTAATTATTGTTTAAACATCAAATGCGTATCTAGACAAAGTATGTATAATCTATTTGATTAATTTGCAATAAACACAATGGTAATATATATATATATATATATATGGTATGTTTCATGTCATATTTTTTCGATTATATGATGTATAATTGAATATATTAACGATTTTTTTTTACTGATCAGTGACCACTACAAAGGTTTTACGAGTATATTTAACAAACTGTTATATACTAAACCGTTATTGTATAATATCATAACTCTCGAAACGATGTTTACTAATGAAAAAGAATTACTATTCATTACCCATGCTTTTTACGTGAAATCAATTATTGATATAGAAATTCAGAAATGAAAAAATGGTTTAAATACCGTTTGATGTACACCCCCAATATGAAAATGTATCCATAACATATACTGTTTATTTCAATTGCTGAGTTATATGATAATAATTATATTTTGTTGTACTGAATAACTGATATATAAACGTATAATACAATATATTATCATCTATCTCAAAATACTCTTAACAATCGTTTGATGGCTGAGAAATAACATTTATGTGACAATAAAATGAGCCTAAAATTTATAAAAAATATAGTATAAATGTTCTGTAGTATTTCAAATGAGTAATTTTCGAAATGTTACTCTGTTTTCTACAGCGATGGACCCGTGGTTTGTCGACTATTTTATGATGCTATTACTAAAATAAATGTCAATAATTATTACATTCTATTTAATATTTAACACTGTTAACGTTTTATTCTTTTCTGGTATTACAGGTGACGACATTCGCGCGAATGTATATAATATGAACTTCTACATTGATCTAATTGAGACAAAGGTGTCGGACATCGTCAAAAGCCTACAGATGAATATGGAATTAATATAAATAATAGAACTTAACTCATGTTACGATATTGAATACACACACATAATCTAAGTAACTCTAATAACTATTATAGTAACAGTTACTAAACTAGAAGGGTTACGAATACATCTAATAATGGAAGCATTTTTTCTAGTGAACCTTACATTTAAATTTCATGCCCGATGCCTTAATCTTTAAAAGTTCTTTTTTTTATATTTTTCTAACATGACGGGTCGTTGAGTATGCTTCTCTTTATATCTTTCTTGCTTTATACATATTTTTTCAAGTTTTTTATGCATTAATCGTTAGTTTTCATGCGAAGTAGTTCATTTTATATAATATTTTAGTTTTTTAAATAATTGTTTGCTATTTATATTGATATACTGTTATTGATTAATGGGAAAAATGTAATACAGGATGATAAGCGTATTTTTAAATAGTCATGTAAAATATTTAAATGGCTTTCTTGAAAAACTCTAAAAAAAAAATACACCCATCTGTATGTCAATTAAAAATATTTTATATGTATGTTATATATATTTATATGTATCATGTGAATCTACGTAAAATAATGACGGTTAATAAAAAAAAATTTAAACCACAAAGATAATAATAAATACTTTTAAATATAAATTCTTAGTTTATACTTATTTTTTTTTTAAGTATACAAAATTATTAATTGAATATTAATTTATTATTTATTAATTATTGTGTATAATATTATACCATAGTCAGTGGCGCACGCGGAGGGTGTAAGGGGTTGTAACTCCCCCCGAAATTTTCTACGATGTCTAGGTTAAAATTTACAAATTTTACAAGTTTGAAATATGAAGAGCTAGTATTGAATACCTAGTATCATTGATTATAGAATAGTCTATTCTATTATCAATGCTTTTATTTAAGTCAAAATATATTAAGGATTTGCATAATTTTGTTAATTGTAAAATGTATTATATTTTTACCTTGACCCCCCCCCCAAAAAAAAAAAAAATTCTGTGTGTGCCACTGATCATAGTTAAAAAATGTAATATCGTCATGTCACTTAAATAATATACGGAGTTTTAATAGAATATACCTATTTTATTTTATTTTTTAATACACTATAGACAATGATAATTAGTATTAGTAATTACTAATTACTAATTAGTAATACATGGATTTATATTATTAATAAAATATACTTTAACACTATTTTCAGTTTCTCAAAAACACCTTTTTTTTAGTTTTCTCTTTAATTTTTTCCGCCATGTTTAATACTTTGGTTAACTGTTGGTACTCCTCAGCAATAAAATCTAACTGAGTTTTAATATCTGGTCTTTTATTTGGCACCAATTTCTTCACGCGTTTACACATCTGTTTGTATATATTCCACACTGAAGCAGCTACCTATAATATATATTTGATAAACAATTCAATTGTTACTCTTATAAATTCAAGTTACCACATCAGCTTCGATTTTTTTTTTCTTTGGCTACGTTTTCAATTTTCCGATATGCCATATCGATTTTTATCATCTCATCCTTCAATTTTCCCAACGATTCAATAATTTCTGCCATTTCCACGGAAATATGCTCGGCCTCTTCGCTCGTTTCCTACACGAGAAATAATCATGAATACTATCAGAGGTGGATCCAGAATCGGGGAACTGTGGATCAAACCATTTCAAGAGGCCATTTATTAGGGATGAAACTGAATTAAAAATGAATAACTTGTAAAAAAAAAACAATATGCTCATAAAAGTGTATAAGTATATTTTTATTACATTTTAGAATTAGTGATACCACCGATAATGACTTATTTACGATTAATAAATATAATCTAATTTTATCAGCGCAACAAACGTACGGAATAAAATATGATTTACTTAACTTTTTACTAAAACGATATAATTTAAAATATAAATTATGAATTGAAAAATTTTAAATTTTGAATAAACAAAGTATTCATTTTTTCTAGTAACTCCGATGGGCCAACTGTCCAAGAGTTCAAATTAAGGTCTAAAAAGAGAAAACAATTTCCAAGAAACCGATTTTGTCAACAAATATTAACTGTGGGTCAGCTGACCCCTTGAACCCCCCCCTTATCGATTGCTTATGAATACTAATCAAACAATATAATATACTGTTATATTATATTATAAACCAAAATAGATTTTAACATCTAAAATAAATATGATAAAAACAAAAATAGCTAATTTATGAATGTAAATACACTACCTTTATTGGCGATATACAACTTATTAATGTTTTGGTCGGCGGAGGGTGGATGTGTAAAATCCGACTGGAAAAATAACATTATTATAATAAATAATTCATAACGTGCCCTTTACAGTTTACCACTTTCTATCGCCAATAGTTTAATTATTTCTAAATAATCACTATCAATTTTTATTTTTCAAAAATAAATTTTGAAGAATTGTACAAATATTTGGTTTTCAAACTATCGTGGCCAGTAAGTCTGGTTTGAAAAATATTTTCAAGTTCGATTTTCGAATAATAATAGATGCTTGATAGTTCGGTTCAATTTTTTTTTATGCCGAGTTGGAATTTCGAACATCAAGGGTTCGGTTCGGTTCGAGATTCGAACAGTTCGACCCATCACTATTGAAAATATATCTACACAAATAAGCAATTTGTTTGTCATGGATTCTACAAAATTTGAATCTGCAATTCTAAAAATTAAATAAAACATATTCTTCAAAGCTCGAGGTTTTGAATACATTTTTGGAATTTACTAAGTGAAGAAAAATATCCGTGTTTAAGGAATTTAGTTTTACAGTTACATCTTATTTCGATCTACATATTTGTGTGAAACAGCATTTTCTTACATGGAAATGATAAAAACAGAATATCGAACTACACTCTCTGATGACTATTTGGAGCTATCTTCTATTAGTAATCAGCAACTATTTGCCAGATTATGAGCAATTGGTCAACGAAATGCAATGTCACACTTCAACAATTCTCAGATCATCAGATCAACAAAGTAGTATGTTAATTAGACTTAATTAATTCGATTTTAGAAATTATTATTTATTATTATATTATTTTTAGTAATTAGTAATTAGTTTATAATACTTTTTATATATATACATATATATACGGTTTTTTGAAGATATGGGCTTTCGATCACACACATGACTGTCGAATAAACGACCGGCACCCATAACAAGGACACACAACTCTCTCCCAGCGCTCTTGTTCATAAGCCAACAGCGAGTGTGTAAGAGTCTCTTGATCTTAGGTCGCCAGTATGTGCGAACCGACCGTTAGATTAATAAATTAATTTTTTGTGACGAGTGATTATCACGTGTGACTATATCGTTTTTAAATTCATTTTTCCATTTAACTTCTCTGTGCAAGTGTTGAGAAGAGTCCAGTTTCGGTACATCAAATCCTGTGTCTATTTCACTTAATTTCAAACTCATTATACTCGCGTCCAATGTTCGATCGATTTATGTGTTTTTCAATTCCGATCACTGTAGCGCTCCTACCGTACGCGACCACTACGCGTGATTGCTTTCTGCTTCCTCTGCGGGTGGCCCCGAATCCTGGTCTAGATGACTGAAAGACCAAGGTGTGTTCGGTTGAAGTTCTATTTGCGCTGCAACAACGTTCGATCTCCGATCGGGTTATCTTCACGTGTCTTGCTCATACTTTTCCCGCTTTAACTCTTCGAGGTTTCACGTATCACGGTTGTTGCGCCGGCGCAACACCCGCATCTGAAGAACCGCGAGACGGCCCACTGGTCCGTGATGAACACGACGTCGGTAGTCGGACGGGTGGCCGTTACGGATTGCGGCTCTCAAACGGACCCCATGTCTGTCACTGCCGTCGGCACTCGAGTGGCCAACCACGACGTCACGTGCGGCGATTCCGGCGTAACGTTTGCAGACGGGTGCACGACCTACCCGGTCGCCAGTGAAGTAACGTCCGACGTGACCAAAGCCAGCGGGAGGCGCTTTCCGGTCCAGATACGAACGCGGACATCACGGCTGTTGATGGAGGAGACTTTGCCGCCGCCTGTATGTTGCAGGGAGACCACATTGACGAGTGTCACCGTGGCCGTAGGACGAGACGACGAAATCGTTCCCTCCGTTTTACCGAAGATAGATTTTGAACTGAGCCAAAGTGAGTGCAAAACCACATTACCATTAATTATTTACGGTCGTGTTCAACGCGAACAGGTCCCCGCTTCCGGATTTTGCCGATTTTTCACGCGTTACAACTCGATTTACCATAATGCGCAGTGCGGTTGTAGAACATTAAGATTTACGCTTTTCGTTTGTCGGGACCAACATTTGTTTACTACAATTACACACATATATATTTGAATGCAAAGTTTACGATAATTAGGCGTTACTATAATCATCAGTCCATTATTCAATTCACACTTGCACGTTGATTTTGTATGTTGATAATGTGTTGTAGGCGAACATGAATAATTATAACAGAAACAACAGAAAAGTAGTAAACAGAATGGAGAAAAAAATGCTGTTATTTTCTGATGGTAAGTTTTAAAAAAGTGAACGATATAAATAGATAAAAAAAAATTTTTGGAAGATTTTGATACCAAAAATAACATTATTTTTAATTTCCATAGGAGTATTGTCCCGTGCATTGGATCAGAGAAAATAATCTTTTCACATACGACAATTACCTCAATAACATCCAAGAATTTTTGAAAAGCCACAATATCAACTGACGGATGGAACGGACGTAATTTTACTGTCCTCGTCTGTTTGTAAATTTGTACATAGATTTTAAGTTCAAAAGTATCTCCAGTAAAGGTAATTCGCCCAATCATGGAGTCCTCGTCCGACCTAGGAGTTGTGCTCTTTTATTATGTGTTTACTTATTTCCATACTGAGAAATCAATTGAAAAATTCAAAAGCAGGTGCTATGAAATACCTCTATTATCAACTGTGTATAATACATTTAAATGTTTATAAATGTAAACGATATCATATGAGATTTCGATGCTAATTAAAGCCTAAAAATGGGTTTATATAAAAATAAAATATATATACGTAGGCTGTTCAAAAAGTAATGGTAATAACGTTATCTAGAAAAAAATATTTATTTAATCATCCATTTTTACAAGCTCTTTTTCAAAGTAACCCCCTACGGTTATAATACACTTTTTCCATCGTTCTTGCCACTTTTTAAATAGGAGTACCAGACCATCTATCTTTCTCGAGCTCTTTGCACCGCGCCTCCACAGCTTTGATGACCTCTTGATTGCTGTTGAATTTCCAACCCCTGAGTGGATACTTGATTTCAGAGAACAGCCAGAAATCGCATGAGGCTAAATCTTGACTATTCGGAGGGTGGGGTACAGTTTTGATGCCACGAGCGTTTAAAAAATTTAATATAGTATGGGTGATGTGGGGCCGTGCATTATCATGATGCAGTAAAATTTTATTAATTTTCTTATGGGGTCGTTTTTTTTTTTTTTTTTGAAATGACGCAACATTTTGGTTAAAATTTATTTATAATATATAATAAATTATTATTATTTATAATAAAGTTAATGATTCATATGTATATTTTCGGTTCTTTCCAAGTTTCACTAATAATTTCACGTTACAACGTTGCTATAACTTATTACTCACAGTGGAAATGGTAGGCGAATATGTACATGCATTATATAAATTGACACTGACGCCCACTCACTGCACCGATCGACTTGTAACTCGACATTTAGATAGATAAGATAATGGACTATACGATAATATGCATTGTGAGCAGCTTTTACAACAAATTTTCCATCAGCATCATTATTATCATTAATTTTTGAACAGCCTACGTATTTGTTATCACTATTTACTCTCGACTTAAAATAAATATAGAATAGTATATCAGTGAAATAATAGTTGGAATAGAGTTAAGAAAATCTGAAATAATTAAAATAATAAAACCCAAGTATATAATATTATTATTTTAAATTTTTAGATACTATCTCTTTATCATTTGAAACGTTTAAAAATACCTCGGATTAATTATAATAATAATTAAGTACTTTGTTAAAGTGTTCTTAAGTATTGCTGGTTAAAAACCTGTTTGAATCATAAGCCAATTATTCATGAAAATGTTTATGAAATGGATAATGATTTACAAAAATTATTGTATTATATATAGAATAAAGAGTCGTTTTTATAACATGCAATATTCGTTTTCATTATTATTTTTATGCAAAACCATTTCTAATCTTAATGATTTAAGTTTTCTAAATTGTTTCACATTTCAGCAAAATTAAATTTTATATTCTGATATGCATAATATTAAATATAACTTTAATTACTAAAATGTCTACAATTTTTATAATAATTTTTTGTGAAATTTAATCCCAATTTAATCAGTAATCCAACCAAAAGTAAATATGCTTTTAATTTTATCGAACAAACAAAAACTACACTTATCTTTTTTGGTTCAAGTGCAGCTATATTTCTTTTAATCTTTTTTTTTTGCTTTTACTCAGAAAACATTTTGATTTTTTACCCTTACACTTATTCGTTTCATTAATTTAAAAAAAAAAAAAAACTGTAAAAAGGTAAAACAAAAGCCATAGTATTTAAAAAAAATGTGAACTGTAGAGGCAAAGACCGAAGTGGGTATTGCATGACTAGCCAAGATGGCGGACATATGATCAAGAAGTGTAAGAAAGCGGCCAACTGCATTTTATGCCAAGATGGGGGGGAGTAAATTTAACCACTATCCGGGAAGCGATCTTTGTGAAGTATATCGGTGGGTACAGATAAAGGCCAACAAAGAAAAAACTTAGTTAAGTTATAATCTGTGGACTGTAGGCCAAACTTGGGTTGTTAGAGGCCACCATATTTGTGATATTGTGTTTTTTTTTTGTTAATGTACTATTTATAACACAATAAACGATGGCGATGACCCCGAATTAATTGTAAAAAACAGTTCCTGGGTCAACGTCGATTCAAAAGCGAAAAAAAAAGGTCTACCCTGGTCTGCACTAACTTCCTTAACTTACCCGCAATATTTTTTTAGTTAAAAAACTGTTTTCTCATATGAGGTTATCCATCTGAACTAATTTATCGGTAGTGAAGAGAGAAGAAGTGAAATTCCCAATAATTAATATAAAATAATAAAATTTTGTGTATAGTTACTTTTGAACGTTTAAACACGTCGGTCGTCAACCGTTTCAAGTCCGCAGTTTTCTTTTCGTGTTTTTGTGCCAATTCCTTTCTGATGTTTGTCAAGTTTTCATATCTTTTTATCACGTCATCAATATTTTGAAATTCATTGGATTCCTCCACTACTTTTTCAAGATAATCCTTTAAATGATAAGTTAGAATTAAATATATTTATTCTAACAAAATACGTAATTAGGAACAGAGGCCTCAGCCACCCAAAATGTCAGAAAAAATTTTAAGTCTGTTTTTACCTTATAAAATTTAAATTGTAGCTAATATTATCATTGTTTTATGAATTATTAGATGCAAATTTTTATGTAGTGAACCAATTGAATATCTATTATTATGTATGTATTTTATTTTATTAATTTTGTTAAAAAGAGTTATGTTTGTACAATAAAAATTAAAATTGTTTACTATATATTTTTATTTTTATTGGTTAAATTTTGAAATTTTGTAAGAGGAAATTTCCCAGCCTCTCGGAGAAAATCTAAATAGGTATGTCCCTGATTTGGTATACATATATATTATGCATGTATTATTATGCATAATATACTTGACATGCGGCTACATGGATTTATTTACGTCAGATCACACATCGACATGAGTGACATAATATCATCGATGTACGAGCTCAATTTGCATAAATAATAAAATATCAATGGTAACATTTACCTCGAACGGTTTCAACTCGTCTACACTGTGTTGCATCTTATCTGAAGCCTCTTCCAGCTGCAATATAGACTGCTGTATCGGTTCACTTTGGACTTCGTAACGTCTTTTTTCTTCGGTGTCCTCATTCGTTTTTCTCGCGAGAATTTCGCATTTCATCTCTGTTTCCTACAAGCATAATCAATTTGTACCGAGCTATGTACATACATTTTATTACCCACGAATCTCTAAAAAATGCTATACTTTCCATGAATAACTCATGATTTACACACAAATTAACTGTTTTTATGAGCACGAGAATAAATGTGAATGATACAAAAACGCCGATAACAACGCTGAATATAATTTGAAAATAAATTGAAGGTACCTACCTAAGCAGTGATTGCAAATAAATCTAATCCAGCGTTTCTCAACCGGGGGTCCGTGAAAAAAAAGACGTAATGGCAAAAAAGTGAAATTTATTGTATTTGATATATTTGTTATTGTGATTTGTGAAATATTGTAAATCGGTTTTTCCTAATATATGATAAAAGTGTGTATAGGTATAATAAGAGTATAATATGAAATATATCATTATAAACGGCGGTATGTGTGCACTGGATTTTATCTAATTTTATGTACCTAACTGTGAACGGTTTAAATGTTAATGAAATCGATACTAATAACTAGTAACAACAAGTAACTAATAACATGAATGGCTTCAAAAACTAGTATACTTATCCGATATTTTTTTGAAATTAAACAATCTAAATTTTACTCTTCTAAACAGTGGAGTGACTATATTCCAAGTTACTGACAAAATAGAATTTTTTATTAAAAAGTTAAAATTTTGAAAGTCATGTATTGAGAATAATCAATCAGAAGTTTTTGAAACACTACATGATTTTCTCTGTGAAACTGATATGAACTTATCACAAGATATCAAAGACCAAATTTAAATGGGCTCAAGGCAGCATTTGAAAAGTACTTCCCTAAATGTGGAATAGAAGACCACTGAATTGCATTCCCTTTCAGTGAAAACTATTTCAAATCTGCAGTTTTATTAGTTCAAGAAAAAGAAAAACTAATTGAACTGAAAACAAATTCTTCACTTCTAGCAGCATTTCTTAAAAAAAAATCTCTCATCGCCTTTTAGACTGTCGTTAATGACGAATATCCTGAGCTTTTCTGTAAAGCATTTAATATTTTACTACCGTTCACGAGCACTGTATTGGTGGAGAGGTCCTTTTCGTCATATACATTCATTAAAATTAAGTACCGTAATAGACTATCTGTGAGTTCAGACTTATGGGTTTACCTATCAACTGTCGAGCCAGATTTCAAAAAATGAAGTGCTAGCAAACAAGCCCAAGGATCGCATTAAAACTAAATTTTTAACTTAATATATTTTTATATATGTATATACATAGGTGAAACTACGGGTCAGGCTAGTCAGGCCATGGCCTGACCTAATACTAACGAAAAATATATATACATATATTATATATTTTAATAATTATTTAGGCATTATAAATAATTTATTTATAAATATAAACGTATACATTTGTACGTTTCATATAATACTATAATATAATATAATATATAGGTACGATTGGTACAAATAAGGATTATAATAGAACATAATAAGTCTATTCTATGTATTCAAATAATCGCTTTAATAGTTATTGTTTAATTGAGACATTTGACGTTTATTTTTATAATTATATTACAGGAAAAATAGTTAATTTTACGTAATAATACATTTTATATTTTTAATTTGGCCTGACCTAATACAAGTGTCTAGTTTCGCCTATGTACTCGTATATATAGATACATTGTATGGCATATGCCGATTAAAATAAATAGACATTTCCAAATTTTTCGTTTTACTTATTTCGTTAATTCTTATTTATCTCATGTGAGAATATATGACTAAGTTGACATTTGGGGGTCCGTAAAATAGTGGTGATAGGTCAAGGGGTACGCGAATAAAAGAAGGTTGAGAAACGCTGATCTAATTTAAGACTGAATACATCGTTTACGTAATAAAAATTCTTTAAGTCTAGTGAATATCAAGTATGTAGGGCAATTTATTGCAAGGTTAGTCTAATATGGTAGGTGGGTAGGTCGTGATAATATAGATCAAAATACATGATTATAGAGGAGGGGGATTACTATCGTTATAGCTACACGGGTTTATGTAAAACCTGATTGTACCATAATACCTATGTATAATTAATTACTAAATAAAACTGTTCATGTTTCAGTTCGTCTTCTTGCAATGTTTTCATCTTCTGATTGAGATCACTCCATTTAATACTCATCTCTTTGTCAAAGGTTTTTTTTTTCTTTACGTGTGATTTCCAATCGAGTTTTGGCGGCATCTCGTTCACGAACGGCCAATATCAATTGATTATCCAACGACTGTGGCAATGCATTCCAATCTGGAAACTTCCTAAAAAAATTTTCGGATTCAGTGGCGTATCCAAAGCCCACGGACAGATATGTTTTCATCAAAACAACTCCTTCTTATCTATAGGCAGTATTTATGCAAAAATATACATAGTATACGAATATAGTATGTGCCAGGGTATATTGTAAAGCGCTGTTGAGCATTGATTGCGATATCGAGAACATTTTTTGTGATTTTGGAAGTACATTTTTATGTTGTTGATAATGTTATAATGATAATATTACGGGTGAGAAGGTTGGTGAACTCAGTCGTGTAGCTATTTCAAAAGGGAAGTGTTATTCAAAATTATACACAACAAAATAAATACTTTACTTATACTTTATTGTACAAGAATACAAACACATTAGTACATTATACATGAATATCTATTCATGTGTAATGTACTATAGTATGAGAAAATATTTAAATATTTTATCATATTAAAATTTCAAATGTACATTTTTGTCATATGTATCTATTTTAAATCGCGCATGATACGACATAAAACCACGGTTTTGGTATATTAGACAAAACGATGTAATGAGAAGCTGGATCCCGGCTTTACATTATTGTTATGTACATATATATTTCGTTATGATAAATATGTTTTCATCATGGTTTATGATCAATTTTTACCTTTATTAGACTTCAGTATAATGTTAACATGGTTAAGGGTGGAGTGAGGGTGTTACTACACCTGTAACCCATGGCTACGGGCCTTGGTAAAATGGTTTGAAAATTATATTTTTGAAAAATCACCGATATCATAATTTTGTGGGATTTACACGTATTTTAGTGAAGCGATTTTCAAATTTTTAATATTACTTGTTAAATTATTTTACCAGTTATATGTATTATTTTAAAGATTATTTTTCGGAAGTCGATTACCTTATAACTACTTGCCTACGTCGAACATAGACGTAGTCTCTTAATTGTTTCCTTAATTGTACTTGTTTGATTTAGTATTATATATATTGAATATAATACACTATTTATATGCGTTATGAATATAACATTATATTAGCTATGCGAGCCTTGTTTGTTTCGATTCAGTTCCAGTAATTCCACCAATAATTATTTTACAAATCATCGGCTTTCTATTTATTGTACTGGTATAATGTATTCATATTTGAAGTACAGTATTAGTTTGAGAGTGCACCTAATATCTAGCATAGTGTTTATTCATATAAATAATTATATTTAGTGTACTTAATTAAGAGTAGAGTTATAAATGTGACTTTTAATATAGGGGTAGAGGGAATTTAATGCGTCATTGACAAAAATTCTTAGAATAGACCCTGATATATGCTTCAAATTTCTACAAAATGTATGATCTTAATTATACATGAATAGGATTCATACTGCGTATTATACGATTATTAATATTTTATAACTAATAACAGAACAATGCATGACACCGTTACTATTGAGATCGTGAAAACTCCTAAAAGTTATAAATAAATATACAATTAAAATAACCGCCCTAAAAGAACTCGTCTAGTTGTGGCAGCCTAGACACAATCTGAAGACGATCTTCAAAGATTTCAACTATGAACATACGATAGCTACTATTACTTTTACTCTGCTTATAATATTATATTTAATTTTTTATCTGTGTACGAACTTGATAAAATCATTCGACTCTGCTTTGACTTGCATATATGTAGCGACAGCTTTTACGCAATTCGCTTCGATGTCTATCATTCTTCTTGGCCTGATCGTAGGATCTTGCATTTTAAATTGTATTCTTTATGTACTCCAAGTAATTAACAAATATATATTTAACTGGAATTCAATATAATAATTTTTTAGCTGATCATATCATTGATACACAATAGTACGCTCTCATATGCTACTTAAAAAGAATGAGACCAGATGGTAATTTTTACCCTAGAAACAGTATCCTAGCAACTACTTGTTTAATTGAATATGCTATTCTATTAAAATGTATAGGTAAACATCAAAACAGGACTAACTACTCAAAAGTGTACCCAGAAATCGACAATATGGGCGCATATACAAGCGAGTGCGTGATCGTGTCCGTAGATCTATAAATAAAATAATATTTTTTTTACGATATTAATCAGAAAAACTGTAATGCATGGGACAAAACCATTTATTATATATTCACCGGGACCTGGTTAAACACCAGAGTCTAAGAACCTGGACTCCAAGTCCTGATTTGTTGAAGCCCAGAAGGGGCTTATTTTCTCAGAACAAATTCATTATATATTTTTTGTTTAAATTTTATTCCGACAACAGTGACATAGCAAGGGTATGGTGAACTGTGGCTACACCAGGGGCCCAAATTTGTGCTTTAAAATTGGTACTTATTTTTATATTTTTATAATTACTTTAAAACTTTAAACTTTAAAATGACATTTCTTTATTATACATTTTGAAATGTGTATGATTTTGTTTATCTTGTTTATCGTTATATTAATTTTTAACCAAGGGCGTATTTGAGAGGAGTTGAAGGGGGCATCCGTCCCTCAATGGCTCATATTTTTTTTGAATATAATACATTGATTTATTTAAAAAATGTAATGTATAAATAATTAAGAATATAAATTACTAGTCTATCATCATAATATGATAATAAATTCAATAATATGTCAATTTGATCACGGATATCAATTTTTGTTTATCTTCATATATCATAACATTTTTGGTTGTTTAACGAATAGTGGTATTATCTTCTACAGATATTGCTACGGTTATAGACATTTACAACCATAACTAAGGTATTTATCAGATAATATAAAGTAATTTAAAGTAACACTTTTTTACCACATATTTACTAGTTGGTCATTTTTGGTGCATTAATGCATATTGTATATTTTGTATTTATTAGAGGTATATAAGTCCTTAATAATTTTAATCGCCTATTTTTTTTTTTTTTACAACATAATATTTGGTACTTTTGATGAGAATAAGTATTTATTTATTTTTTTGTGCACAAATGCATGCATATTTGTGTATTTTATAGAGCTAGAAGCCCCTAACCCAAATAATAATCATAATAACTGACAATATTTGTTTCCATATTCTTATAGGCGTATTTAAGGCTATGGCCACTCTGGTAACGGCCAGACCTGCAAAATCCAGCTTCGTTTTAAATTTATGCTTAAATCATTAAAAATAAAAAGTAAAAAGAATGATTAAATAAAACAGAACTAAATCATAAATATTTTCACATAAAATATTATATATGTATAATATGTCTGTGACAAAAACTAACCAATATTTATTATTTAATATCCATAGCTATAAGTACCCGTATAGTTTTAGTTGTAATTTATGTTATATACCTTTTATTTTTTTAAGAGAGTAAGTATATTATATACTAGCTAGGTATAGTTACTGTAGTAGCTACAATTACTATGTACGTTCTCGAGGTAGTGTACTATGTACAAGTCACTTTTTGTCTTTGTATCCTAAATGAAAATTTAAATTTTCCAAATGAAAAATTTTGTTGGCCATACATGCACGAAATTTTCAGAAATGCCTATGCATATTCTTTAACTTGCAAATATTGGCCAAAAATATATTTTTATAAATTGAAAACATGGTTAAAATCAAGAATAGGCCAGCATTGACTAACAGGTTTGGATTAGCTGCATGTGCATAAAACTTTTATTGTACCCATTGATGAAACAATCAACAAATTTGCCAAAATGAAAAAAAAGAAATTTGGGATTTGTTATTTGACTACTTACCAACCTTAAGTTTTCTACTTAGATATTTATTAAATTAAGTTACCTATCTTAATTATTTTTAAATTTTTTAAAAAATAAATAATGGGTACTATTACTGCTATGATTATTTGTTGTTTTTTTTACACAGGATTCAGACTGAAGGTACAATTTTAATATAAAAATTTGTGTTGTTATTATTAATATTTATTTTATATGCAGTAGGTTTTAAATATATTTATTAACCAATTATTTAATTCAATTTGGTAATTGTATTTTTGTTTATTCACTCTAATAAGCAACAGGAACATGAGCTGTAGGTAATGAACCAGTGGTGTACCTAGGAATTTTTTAAAAGGGGTGGTCCAACTTTTTATTTTATCAGTTTTCTGATTAGAATTATAGTTTAATTCAATGCAACAAATTATTATTAATAACTATAGTAATAGTCACAATAGTTACACACACATCACACATATTCTGCATAAAGGTTTACTATAATAGATAGGTACTATAATTTGAAATCAATTTTTATTTGGTAGTAAAATATTATAAAAAAAATAGGTCCATTTTCCCAGCATCCCCGCTTTCAAATTTCGGGTGCAATCCGGTCCCTATCGTTTGTACCTGATTGTAAATCTAGTCCCTTCATTTGTACCTCAACAGTTTTTTAAGTTATCCCTGTTTTACTTGGGAGGTTACACGTAAATTTGCATTGGAATTTTGCATTTTCCGCATCAAATGTATTTCCATGACTAATGTAAGCTTAGGTATACATCATATTCCATTTTACAATATATTTTTAATAAAAATTGAATTAACAAAAACGGTTGAATATAGTAATTTCTATATGTAATAGTTATATACGTATTTATCGAATTTAATTTAATTCTTTTTTAATAAACTATATACACAATTATTTTTAATTCATTATTTAAAGGTATATTTTTTCTTTATAAAAACTAAAAAAATAAATCGGTCATATTTAAACTGATCTAATGGTATTTTATTTTGGTTATTAGGACTCTATAATTAAAATATTTTATTTTACATTTTCTATAATAAACAGTTTTGCCTAATTTTTTTTATTATTATTTATACTATTTATTATAAATTTATGTTTACGTGAATATATGAAGTAAATTTTACTCCTAATTTCATAAGATGTCGACTCAAACTTACCAAAATATTTGAGTTACTCCTAATTTCAAGCTAGATTTCACTGGTATATTTTTCGGAGTGTTTTAATATTTTTCTTTACCTTTAGAGAATAATAATTAAAAAATGTCTCCAATTAATTCTTTGTTTGATTATATTATGTATCTAATACAATTAGTAATGTATGTATATATGTCCCCCATGGCATCAACTCAAATACACCCTTGTGTTTCACTACTTCAGTGGACACTTAGATGATAGTGATCAACATTATTCTGATCAACTTGATCGGTATGAATTTGTTATGTATTTAACGAGTACACTACGGTGCACCATAGTTCAAATTCATGAACACTTTAAAAATGAAAAAAAGTTAAAATACAAAATTATTTAAAAACGAAAATAAATGTACGATATTAGATCTTACCAAATATCCGAACCTTGTACCAACTGTGATAAAACTATTAACAATCAACAATTTTTTTTTTTTTTGCTTCACGCGCCATTTAGGCGCTTCGCAGCTTCTACCAAAGCTCTCTAACCTTCCTGATCCTCTGCATCCTCAATACTTGCTCCATTGCGTAATGTCTTCAAGTCGTCCATTACTCGGTCCAACCACCGTTGTCTTGGTCTTCTCACAGGACGTTTCTTATTTGGTTTGTTAACTAGTAACTGTCTTATCAGTCTACCCTCTGCACGCCATACATGACCAGTCTACTCTAATCTTTTCGACTTCAGGAAATCTTTTAAATTGGTTGTATTAACCCGACTGTATAAGTCAGTGTTTTTTCTTCACTCGTATTCACCAGTATTGGGGTTTAATATAGGCCCATATATTTTCTAAGTATTTTTCTTTCAAAAGTCAATAGTTTATTCTCGTCGCCCTGCGTCGTGGACCATGTCTCACAACCGTACATAACAATGGGGCGTAAGTAGGCTATATATAGTTTTTTCTTTGTGTCTCTTGACAGTAGTTTTGATGTAAACATTTTTTCTCACCGTCTAGTATCCTCGGTTTACTGCACTTATTCTGGACTTTAAACTCGTTATACATATTATTTTTATGATTTATATTAGCACCCAAGTACTTAAAATTCTCAACTTGTTCAAAAGAGAAATCAACAATCAAAAATTATTTGAAATATTTTTAGAAATTCTCAAAAATCTTAATATTTGTACATTCTGTTCTTCCTAGGTACATAAAATAATAAAAAAAAATTCTAAAACACAGTTCTTGGTATGCAGCTGCCTATGTTACGAAATGGATAGTCGTAAGATTGAGCGCCTCAAAATATTTTTCCATAGCCGCCGAAAAACATATCTCAATTGCGCATTCGAGTGCGCTACCCCTGATTTAGAGTATAATGCATTTATAAAAGATCACTTAAATAAAAATAATTATTTTAATATTGTTGTGCATTTATTTATTTTTATAGATCTTTTATCAAAATATAGATTTGATTTATTATATAGGTTTATAGTTATTTTATAATTTTGTCTCGGTGTAAGAAATGGATAAACCTGGCTATCGTTATAGATAGATATACATAAGACCCATTTTTTTTTAAGTAGGTATAGTAAATGGGCCCTAATCATATCCAGTTTCTTGATGGAGAAAATGGACCATTACGTGCCTGACAATGTTAAACTTATTTTAATTATTATATACAAACGCTCAAATTCTGATTTAATATTCGTAGTATTAAGTATTCTAAAAATATATCTTAAGCTTCCAAAATTATTTAAATCTTGCCATTTTTCTTCATTTTCTGTATCACTTTCATTTGAACCGCTTTTATATACTTCATATATATCTATTGTGTTTTCCCTATTTACATTAGTTTAAATTAATAAACATTAATTTAAAACTAGAGAAATGAGCAGTAGTGTTCAAGAAGGAGACAATCCCTGATTAAGAAGGATCAGAGGCCACATCCTATACACGGGGAACGTGTATAAAAAGCCCCTCGACTAAAAATTACATTGAGTGGTAATTTGTACTTTTTATAGTATCTAAAAAAAATATTTTTATTTTTTTCTTATTTGAAATAATGGGTGTTGGGGCCAATCACCCACCTACCATGTTTACCAACATGGACACAGTAATTTGAGCACATGGCCAGATTTGTGTTGATGGGGAATGAGGATATATTTCTTTATCACTGTATTTAAAATAAAATCTTAAAAGCATTTGCTATACAAAAAGCAAGAAAAAATACTTTTACATAAAATATTAATTTTATTTAATTTGTAGATATTTGTATTATAATAAATTATAGTATGTTTGCAATTTTTTTATTATACTTAATTAAAAAGGTTTAAATTTGTTTTAAAATATTAAAAAATTGTTTTCTTTTTTGGGAACCTACAACCATGTATTAATGACTTAACTATGGTCTTTGAAGGACTTAATTTGGGCTTGATTGAAGGAACATTTTAAATTATTATTGAGTAAGCGAATATGGTAAGGGCTTAGAATCGGTGTCTTCTTACTACCACCATTTCATACGATTATAATTATATTGGTAATGTAATTTAATTTCAATAGTTCGTTTGGGCGTTAAAGAAAGTATCGTGGCTACTATAATATTAGTAAGTAATATTTATCTCCTTGGTAACGTATAAAAAAAAATTTGTTAGAAAGTATTTTTTGCTAATACTCTTCACTCCCCATCAATATATTATTGAGCGAACATCTATTTCCCTGATTTACTGTTAAAATCTTACGATTTTACCTTTTCAATCAAGACTTTTGTTTGAACAACTCCATTATTAAAATGGATTATTTATACATAGTAATATACTTTACAATATACTCAACATTTTAATTTTATAAATACGATTTAAGTTTATCATAGACGAATATTGGTAGGGATAACCCTCTCCTCCCTTAGAATCAGAACTTAACAATCAACGAATTGAAATTTCTCTACGGTTCTAAACGACTTTATAAATTTTCATACTCCCCTAAAGCCCCTCCTAGATGCAACTAAATATTCGTCTATGAAATGTACTTGTATACAGTGTTGTATGACCCGCAATAATTACTACATTTAACATATTGGTGACTTTAAGGATACCGAACACTCTGTATATAATTTATATAATATATATACCACGTACTAAGATCTTATAAATTATATGTATAATCAGGGTTCGGGACTTATCTTATAGCATTTAACAAACTTTTAAACAAAAATATTCAATAAAAAAAATTACCCAAAATAGGAAAAAATTAGCAACAATTTCTAAATTTTCTTTTTGCATGAACATGATAAAGTAGTAGATATATTTTTAATTGTGCTGGATATATAATTAAAGATTATAAAAATATTAAAACAAAGTCCATATTATAATTAAATTAAAAAATAAAAAAATAAATGAATCTTTATACTATAAAAAAAAAAAAAGTCTAACTTTGATTTTCGAGACTACCTTATTTCTTATGAATTTTCCGATGAATTTTTTGAAAAATGAAATGTAAACGCTAATTATTGAAAAAAATAAAAAAAATGTGAGTTAGGTCAGTGGCGTACGTCATCGTTTATAATTAAGTAAAGATATGCAAAAAAATAAAAAATAAATATTTTTTTTTAAAAAAAATCTTCAAAAAAAGCACTTTCAATTGTTATAACATACTTCCATATCACTCTATTACATTTTATATCAAACCATAAAAATAAGCAAATACTACAAATCCCAAGGCCTGATTATAATAATCATTATCTAGGGTTGTAACAAAAATGTGAAGTTAATATTCATATAACTAGTACAATATATGTTTAAAAATATTATAAATGTTAAAAAATGGTTAGTAACAATTTTAATATATGTATATTTTCGGAAAACTTTAAAAGGGATTTTGATACCTATATTGTTTTGAAAATTAAAAACAACTAAACATTTTACTTGAAAACACATTCAAGATATGATAATGTCATTATCACTTATTTTACTTAATCACCTGTAGGTATTACAATTAGACCAACAGGTATAACAATGTAAACAGCAAATTTCATCCCCGTCGCCTGGACGTATTTTATAAAAAGCACCTGACCACGCCACAGCGCAGTACGGTATTATTATAACTCGCGTTCTATCGTCTTGCAGTTGGATTTCTTGAGCCGTGATCCGATGCCAGTGGTGGATCACTTCATGGCTTACCAGTTCCGCGCCCGTCCTGCAGATCCCGCCGCAGGAGTGGCTGTGGTCGCGGTGGCCGGCGATGCTGTGGTGCCAGTGATGCGGTCCGGGCACGGGACGATAGGCACAAGGACTGGAATCGAGGTGTGCGAGCAATGTTTTGAGTGCAGCCCTGACAGGGAGGAGCTTTGAAAACACATGCACGACGCGCACGGTGACGACATGAGGCTACAGTGCGCCGAGGACGGCTGCGGCAGGCGCTTCTTGTCGTTGGCCGCACCACGCCGCGTGCGATGACGGACAGGTACAATACACGTGCGAACTCTACGGCCTTCAACAAACACGTTTCCAAAGAACATCCGGGTGCTAGAGCCGTGTTGTGCGGCCGGTACGCGGGCGACGTTCGGTCGCTAGTGCGGCACGTGGACGCCGCGCACATCTGGTCCGAAGTGGTCGCGTGCAAAACGGGAAGCGGTGACGGTGTCGACCCAGTACGCACTATTCGCTGTGACGTATGCAGTAAGCGGTACGGCAACAATCACCTGATGCGGTCGCACAGGCAAATACACGTTATCAAAAGCCCACATTTTGATGTCGCCGATCAGGAACCGACGGCGCAGTCCTGTGCCACGGCCGCGTTTCAATGACTACCACATGTGCTCGTGTTTACATTATCGTTTCTGGTGATGTGTATTGTTTAACACATTTTACGTTCCTCTGTTTACGATACATTGTTTCCTTGCATTTTAACCGTCCAAGGTTCTGACTTATAATTGACAATCGTGTATTTGTATCATATATATATGTGTTTATGTATACTACTACAATAGTACATTTACGTAATATTTTTATTTTAGAAAATTCTAATACCAAACAAAGATTTAATAAAAACAAATATTTTCTTAAATCTACATCTAAACTTCTGCTTTAAACGTCCCAGAAATATAAATACAAGGTTTTTATTAAGAGCCCGTTGAAAACATCCATTTCGGTATCGATAATATTGACGGCTTTTGGTAGGAAAACCTCGACCAATGATCCTCCTTCACAGGCTTCATTCCACTAATATCCTCATTAGTCTCAAAGACGTTTCCCACATTCACACGCCGCGCATATTTAAATTCTAGCACAATACTTGATAAACCTATCCGTCAGCTTACTACGTAAATGGCTGTGCAATTTATCAATAATACTTGGTACCTACTAAATATTGAACGATTTACCTCCTCCAAGTTTATAATTTAGAAGTAGGATCACTAGACGCTCCCTTCCTTCAAACTCCATTTCTAATGTCATCATATTAACTAATTGTTTTCTTATGTATACAAATTGTAAATGTCCTTTTAAAAAATAAATGTTCAAGTAGAGGATAAGATAAAAAACAAAAATATTCCAGATTAGGATTTTAATTTTTTTACAAATTGTCAAAACCTACAATTTATAATTATTTCACTGCCGCTGTAGCATTTTCTTCTTCACGAATCCTGTCTTTCTTCAATGGACCCATGAATGCAGCCTTGTCGGCAACAGTCTGGAAACGTCCATGACCAAACTTGGAAGAGGTATCGATGAATTTCAAGTTGATGCTTTCCAAAGCAGCACGTTTTGTGTGTACCAACAATGACTAAAAATTAAATTAATTGTCAAATAAAATATTTATATTTCATGTAATAGTAAAATGTAAATCTATGTTAAGTAATGTTTAATTAGATGTAAAGATCACCAATGACCTCAGTCCTATCAATGCGTATAACATAACAATCATTGAGTGTCATGAATTTAATGGCTCTAGTTTGTTATACATCATTGGTCACAACTTTAAACATCATACAAAATACAATCACAAGACTTCAGTCCTATCAATGCAATAAAAGACTTGTTTGTAAATCATTTAAAAGAGTGACTCTAATAAAAAATTTTTTTCATAAATTAACACATTTCTTTAATAAAATTTACATTTAAGAAAAAAAAATGTCATTTCGAAAACGACAATAATCAAATTATAGCATAGTTTAATGTAAAAACCTCAGAGTTAAATTGGGATCAAGCGATTAGTTCACAGACATTCGTAGGATTGGCTCTGGTTTTTCATCATTGGTTTTTCTAAACAACATAAATCTATTTCACAAATACATAAACTTACTTTACGAAGAGTGATAACTCGTTTCTTTGGACCAACACAGCATCCCTTAATCATAATGAAGTCATTATTAACTTCACCATAATGAGGGAAACCACCCATGGGAGTAATGGTCTTTACTGTTAGATCATACTCGGTTGATGCATTGTTCTTAATAATCTAGAAAAAAAAAACATTCAAAATAAAATTGACAACTCATTGAATGTAATTAATAAAAATACCCTATATTAATGTATATATATATATATATAAAAGTTAAATATTTAGAAAGGCAGCATGGGATATCTTCATAAATATCGAGTATGCAAATATCATGTATTATCATAAAATTCAAAATAAGTTGACAAAATATACCAGGCATGGTCTACTAGCAAGTCACTGCCCGATGGACTCTTGCACGTTACGGAATAATGCCTACTTTCAACACCAATCTTAACCACAAGGATTAGAGGGTCAAATTGATCTATGATGTGATAGCCTATACATCTCGATTGATACAAGATCCTTATCCTATCTAAATAGTTAAACTATTTCATCAAAATATAATTTTAAACACATAATTTAAGTTTTAGTCTTGGTTTGTCAGTAGGAAGGCAGCATATAAATATCTTCACAATAATCAAGAATGCAAACATTATGTATTATCATCATTCAATCCAAGACTGCAATATAAACAGAAAAAATGTGCCAGGCATGGTCTACTAGTAAGTCATTGCCCGATGGGCTCTTACATGTTACGGAATAATGCCCAACTTCAACCACAAATCCGAACTAAAAGTAAGGCAGGCTAAAATAATTTATGATGGAACGGTATATACGTCATGATAAAACATAACCCTTTCACCGTTTGATTACCAAAGGTAATCCATCAATGAATGTTAAAATTCTTTATTCTCAATAAAAAAAAAATATATATAACTACCTTTCCATCCTTCATACGACAACCAAGTCCAATACGATAAATCTTCTTATTGATTTCTGTACGGTGATGGTAACCTTTTTGACCGGCACGCGCAACAGTGAACTGAACACGACTAGGATGCCACGCTCCAATACAGGCAACTTTTCGTAAACCCTTATGTGTCTTACGGGGCAATTTCTTTGTATGCCAACGAGATGTAACACCTGAAAATAGTTTTTAAATGTTAATATTAAATTCTATAACTTACAGATTATAAACACAGACCTTTATATCCACGACCCTTTGTAACACCAATACAATCAATCATCTCATCTGGGGCAAAAACGTGAGATACTGGTACAGGCATTTCAAAATGTTCTTTAGCCCATTGTACTTTTTCAGCAATAGTTCCACCATTTACTTGAATTTCCATAATATGGGCTTTCTTCTGGCGTTTCTTCAATAGTTTCATCTATAGAGAAGTAAATTAACAATTGAAAACTTTTTAAAAATTTAAAAACATTAATAGCAATTTAATAAACCTCAGACCGCCCTAGGGATTGACATCAAATAAATTCAGTGTCTAACTGTATAACTAAAATCATCATTGGTAAAACTGAGAATGAAAAAATCCCATTACCTGAGTGTGAGCAATGACACGGACAACTTTGGAGTATTTAGCAATTTTAGCAAGATCTTTAGCGATTTGTTTCTTGCCATTTTCATCTTGCCACTTCCTGGAGTACTTGACAAAAGCCTTCTTCTTAGATTTGTACCTAAAGGCAGAACTCATAAATGAAGAGTGGTCTCATCGTAGACAAGTCTAGAGAGGAGACACAACTACCTCTTCTAGCCGCATTTCAAATGAATTGAAATCATCAGCAATAAGTTTTAACTCTCATCCGCTAACGGAGAGGAGAGATAAGTAGTTAAAATTCATACAAAGAGATTAAAAAATCATCAATCTGGGTGTATAAAATATTAGTAAATTAAGCCTCAGACCGCCCTAGTAAAGTGGCATCATAGTAATCAGTAATCTAACTGTAAACATTTTTAAACTAAATCATCACTGGCTATTTTAATTAACACTATAAATAAACAACATACCAGTTTTTGTAGAAACGTCTACGACAATCTTCAGATAGATGTTCAGCAAATACAGTCTTCAATGGTTTAAGACCATATGGAGTTTCAACATAACCAACAACCCCAACAATTATCATTGGTGGAGTTTCTAAAATGGTAACAGGCTCCACAATTTCCTTTTTGTTAAGTTCTATGGGCATATAAAGTCAGTTAAGAAAAAAACAAAACAAAGAAAAAAGACAAGCAAACTTACTTGATCCAGGACGATCAGCTTCACGAACAACATGGGTCATACCAGCTTTGTAAGCAATAAAAGCGGTTAAATGGATAGGTTTGCTTGGATCATCTTTGGGGAAAGACTTCACTCTACCACGATGACGACGTGCACGCTTCTTTGGGTAGAAACCCATAGAACCATGACGAGGGGCACTGAATTTACGATGAGACTAAATAAATAATAACCACATGTAAAATAAGCAAACCACAAAAAAATAAATTAAAAATTAACTAAGACTATGCATCTAACGTGGTAAAGGGAATCAAAAGTTCATGGACAAGTTAATTAAAAAAAAATAATAATAATAATCTTATAGTATTGTGTTCACTGTGAATTGTAAAATGGTATTAAATTTATACTATTTCTATAACATTTATGTATCCAAAATCCAAAATCAGCAGTTTGCAATGTATGTATCAGATATGTGTAATTATTATTATTATTAATACATACTCTTAATAATTAATAATAGACCTTTTAATTGATTATTTGTAGAACCAATAGTAAAGTAAACCATATAAATAACATATCTGAGTTGCTATAAAATTTAGATTTCAAAATTTCGATTTTCCAGAACATTTCTTTAAAGATACTAAATGCATTTTTATTACAAGAATTTATTTTTATAACACTATAGCTGTGATAATAGTAAATTAAGATTTGTTACCTTTATTTTATTAATCACTGATTAATTTTAAATATTCATAGTAGGAAAATTTTATAATAAAACTACCCTAACAACAAGTACAACCGTATCTGCAAAAACCTTATTTTTCAGGAGAGCTTAAAAACCACCTAATTTTCAATAAATGTAAACAATTTATTGATGTAATAATAATTATGAATACATAAAGCTAAATAATGAATAGTTTGGTATATAGCTATCTATATATATATATCAATAACCATATTATTTTATATTTAAATATTTTTCCAACATTTTTCCTTATTTCTGATTTCACTGGCAAATTAAAAATTCTCCTGATAATTCCAAGTAGCATAGCATCCCTGCATATATTGTTTATAGGTCAATGGTAGACTCAACTAGTAGTGACAAAAGAAATAGTTAATTTGTGAAATCAAACCATGTAATCATTAAAATTAGTTACTATGTGATATTTCCCTAAAATGAGCGATGTTGCGTGCCATCGTTCAATAGTAAAGATGGTAATGATTTAGGAATATTCCAGATAAAATATTCAAACTAAGTTAAACTGTTTATTGAAATATTTCTAACAAATTATTTAATTAAATAAACAAATAAATTAGCGTGGAGGTGCTCACTAAAACATATCTTAAACACACCTGAATACTGGTCTATTCCCAACCCCCTTATGTACTTAGGTCTTGTAGGAATTGGCCATGGCACATTTCAATGTAATAAGTTATTTTTAACTATTGTTACTATCCTGAGGTGCTAAATTGTAATTTAAAAGGTCGACCTCGGTAATATTACTATTCTCACATTTCTCATATTTTGTTAAACACTTTTATTAATTGCATTTATATATGACTTTGAAATGTAGCCCGACAGCTCATATTCGTGTTACCAAAAAGTCTTAATCATTCCTTTCTAAATTGTTCACCAATTTCTACTATTTATGTGATTCTCCTATGTACTGGTAGTTGTAAGTACCTACATTTATGTATGTCCTTAACAGCAGGACATTACATTTTACATTTACACCTTCAATAGGAGTAATCGAATAAATAAAAAAAATTGAATAGCATAATCAGTAGTAGAAATAAAAAAATTATCATGGTAAATATTTAATTCAGTACTTTTTAAGATAATATCACAGGACTTATTCAAATAATCCGATCAATTGGATATGATTAATATTTCAGTGGACAGTGAAGCAATTAAGTTAATAAGCTATACACCTCCAGCACTATTGGTTCAAAAATAAAAATCTCTAACCATCAATAATATTCGGAGTTTGGATTGTCAAAATCATTCGATTGTTTAAAATAATCCAATAATTCCCATAACTGCTACTAATAAGACAAAAATTTAAATAGAAGATGAACTACGTTACTTGGAATATTTTATTAAACACACGAAAAAAACGTGTTTGACCATTTCAGACCCCAGGAACATTACAATGTGCATATAATTGAATATTTAATAAAAAATTACTAATAAGAGTTTAATTGACGACCATTATTATATTACAAGTTAGAACACATGATATTTTCGATTTCAGTATAATCAAAGTGTTTACTTTTTAACGAGATTGCAATATATTATAACTGTGAATTTAAAACACACAAATCATAAAGAACAAAACGAAAATACTTAAGTTAATATTATTTGAAAGATTATATGAACAAAAGGTTTTTTAATAATGTAGTTGTTAATTTATATTGTTTGTAATATTTGTTATCAAGAAAAATGTTTATAATTAAATTTGTAAAATATTTTAATTTAAATAATTTGGTGTTGGTTTCAATCGTACATGATTATTAAATAATAAATAATGATAAAAAAACGAGGCGAGCATGGCACTCACTCAAGACCAATGGCGGGACGTTACATAGCAATTATTTTTGCAAAGAAGTAAGGTGTTCATTAGTAAATACACGTGTACAACATGGTAAATGTGCCATGAAACAAGACATGACAACAGACATGAACACCGTACGCAGTCGATAAATGTGGTCGTTAAAAATTAATCAATGTAAATAATGCTAAAGAACGGGTCGAGTAAATAGTTAGACGAGACAAGTACTTACCATGATAGAATTGTCAAAGGATCAAACCAGATAAAAAAATTTTAAAACGTAGAAAAAATGGACGAACGCGACAACCAGCGAAGGCCACGTCCAACGAAATGAACGAGTATTTGATGACAAACGAAGCAATGGCTATAGTAATCGGTACATGGCTAGTCCGGTGGTCGGTATCAGTGTTACCACGTCATCATATGGTGTTGCCAACTTACGCGTCCAAATAGTAAGGGAAACTAAGCATTCTTTTGAGTTAAGCTGCGTTTACACAGTTCACTTTTGACGATCATTTCGGATGAATCATCCTAAGTGAACAATGTAATTAATTAAATCATCAGAAGTAATCACCCTCATTGAACGATGTTCGAATCGAACTTTTATTTACTTTGAGCGATTCATCCACGTTAAATCATCAAAAGTGAACCGTGTAAACCAGTGGCGTATACAGAAAATATTTTCGGGAGGGGCTAGTATGGACAGAGTTAAATTATCATTGCTATCTAAGAATAATTAACAAGACACAGTAGGTACTTAACTACATTTCAATTATAGAATGTCCCAAAACGATTTGACATTGGACGCAAATTCTAAATAAGCATAAAACACCATTAAAATATAACATACGTTTAAATTAATTTTTAAGTTTTTTAAAATATTTCTGGTGGGGGTGGGGTGATGTAGACCACTAGGCCTCCTATATATGCCACTGGAGTAAACGCTGCTTTACGTCATTTTGAGTTTTCTCAACGTAAGACAAGGTATACTTTATGGTGTACACCATGGTTAAAGCAAAAGACGTAATAAAATAATTGTTTCGTACTGATTACGCGTGACCAATAATAATAAACGATATGATAAATGATAATCGTTCGATAGTATCCGTTTGGTCAACAGCCTGGTAAAGAGTACTTTAATCATAGATTTATATCATATCATGGCTTTTATAGTCTATTAAACAGAAATTAGCGGCTGCCTGTAAACTTGTGAACCGCTCAAAAGACTTGTCCTTATCTTACGTTCAGCCGTTTCTAAAGGTCAACAGGTCCATTGATTACACGACCGTACAATCACATAAAAGTCAATACTTTCCAAACATTTCTGTTCGACCCGCATTTAAACATTCTTAATATATTCGAACATCATATACATCTATTTTCGAACTGATTTTATTGCCCCTGGGTTTGTCCGTAAACCAAAATAGTAGTAAACACTAAACAACGATTGTCATTGTTAGTACTAGATTCCTCAAATGCTCTTGCACTTCGTCGGCTCATCAAAAATGGAAAACTACAAGTGTTGCTCACTGTCTGTTATTGACGTCTATGACATCGCGCAAGACATCGGCCGCGAGTTTGAATCCATCATAGACGCTTACGGTACAGATGCCATTACAGGTCTAATGCCTAAGGTAGTCACTGCCCTAGAACAGATGGAAATGTTAGCTATGAAGAACGAACGTGAGAACACTACAGTGGACGATTTACGGTCAACAATACAACAACTTGAAATGGATAAACAGGAACGATCTGAAGATAGGATTAAATATGAAAAGGTACTTTTTGCTATTGTCATATTTTTTTTTATTTAATAATCTGTGAAACAACTAAGATGTACCTTGTTATATATGCCTATACTGGTCTGATCTAGCAGTTCAACTTTAAGAGTTCTGATCAATTATATATATTATACATTGTTTTTATGTACTGAATTAACTTTGTCTTTGACAATTTTACTGTGAACATAAATTATTTCTTTATTTTACTAAATAAATAAAATACTAATTGGGTTTGTTTTTATTTATAATACTCATTCAATTTACAGCAAAGACAATATTTATATAAGGCTTATTTTTTCTATAATTTATGTTTAGTATAGGGATCTATGATTTAAACTGTTAATAACATTATTAACAGTTACTGTTATCTTATAGGAAATGGAACAAATTGAAGATAAATGGCGTGAAGACTATAATGAATTGTTGGATACAGTTTCTAGACTTCAAGATGATAACCGTAAATTGACAGAGTCCTTACAAGCCGCTGAAAAGGATAAGATTTATGACCAAAAATGTATTATTTAAAACATTTGTTGTTTTAATATTGGTAATAAACTGAAAATTAAGTAATTTTGTTTTAGCTCAAGTTTTAAGTCCTGATGTTGATACTGTAGCTCTTCAACGTTTGCGCCATACTGTTGATCATATGCGTGATAATATTAGAAGCTATGAACATCAATTAAATTCAAAAAGCAATGAAGTTGATTCTGTAAATTAAAATTTCAATAATTTGTTATTTATACACTGTTAAATAATTCTATACCAATTAAAATTATTTATAGTTGACTGTTCAAATGGAAAGACTGCAAACTACTTTAAAAGATTTACGGCGTAAACATCGTTTCGTTCAGACACAATGTCGTTCTTTGGTTGAAGAAAGAGCTGATATTCTTTCTCAACTACAGAAGCAGCAAAAGGAGTTTATTTCACTTAGACAAAGGTTTGGAATGGCTCAAAAAGAAAACGAAGATCTCTCGAAGTATAGGGTTAGTAACAAACAATTTTATATGCATTGTACGTATCTAACTCTGGTTAATTGGTTAATTTTTTATTTAGGATGATGTGCCAGATTTAAAAAACAAAGCCATATATGATTTAGATGATCCAGATAGACCAAAATTTACGACTAATGAATTGAAAGATATTTTAACTGAACGTAATGAATTAAAAACTCGTGTCAATGAACTTGAAGATGAACTCTCACAATATAGACCAGTAGAACAGTTGACTGAATCGTACGTTAAATTAAATATCAATTTTATTGATAAAATTGCTTTTAAAATATTCCGCTTTAACATTTTCTTATATTGAAAAAAATATAGTTATTTATTTACTTAAATTCTTTAATTTTTAACTAACTACCTTTACCAATAAATTCAACCAACAAAAAAACTAAGTTATATCCTACTAAATTAGCACTATTTTATTTTCCATTTGCACGCTTGGTACATTGTATGCTTACAATTTGCTTGGTTTACCACAAATCTACCACTTGTGCATGTAAACTTCTACATTAGCCAGGCACGAGATCAAATCCAAGAAACGCGGATACGAAGAATTATCTTACGACAATGCACTAGAACAGTCAGTCACAGGAAAATTTTTAACACCCCTCCGATCGATAAGGAAGACACGCAAGTGTCTGTCATCACCTCAGAAAGTCCACCAGATGGAACATCCCCATGCAGGTAAGTTTCAAATATATTACACATGGTTGCATACTGTTGATAACCCTTTCATAATAACTTATAATGACTTATAAGCAATGAAACGCTTACATGGTCTTTTATGAGTTGCTCTTTTATAATTATTGCTGTTGTAAAATATTTTCATTCCGCTATTAATGCACGGCAGTAGATCATTAAATAATTTTATTTTCTTAAAGACTAAATCAACTACTACAAACTCAACTACAATAAAAACGAAACTTATTGACTGTATAAAAACTGAAAAACCATTTCAACCTACAAAAGAAAGCTAATGTTTACATAAAAATTGTTTCATATTGTCAAGTATGCGAGTTTTTAAATTTAAAAATGTTTATTCTATATTTTTTATTAAAATGGTATGATTTATGTAATAATTGTATTTTGTTAAGATCTGATGATGAACAGGAAGAAGGCCCTGTTCAAGGACCTTTACCCTTAGAACCAGATGATGCACCATGGAAACGATCAGAGTCTGGTATTCGTAAACTGTAAGTGTATCATACTATATTCTATTCTAGCTATAATTGATACAGGGTACAGCTATTTTATTATTTTATTTTTATTTTTTTGCAGTTTTCGTAAAATGTTTGGTGAAACTAACAATGTGTTATTTTCTAAAACTAGTCCTCAACATCCTAAGTTATCGTTACCCAAAATGGTTGTATCCATTGGTAATTCGTCTATTTTGGGACCATCTGAAGTGTGATAAGTAAAACATTGATCTCAAATTGAATTCTTGTACTTTTTAAAAAGTATTATCATAATGCGTATGCTTAGTTAAATGATAGGAGGTCAATAAACTGTAATTTAAATAACCAAAAATCAAATTTGTAATTTTGTAAAAAAAAAAAAAGTATTATTTCAATTTTTATTTATTTATTTATAAACCTTTTTTATTTTTTTTTTATTTTATTATTAACTAAACCAGCAAGAACTTTACTCATGTGTTTAACTATTTTTATTTTGGAATCGAACTATTATTTAATCAAAATTATACTCTTATATGTATTTATCTTTTGGTGTTAAAATCAAATCATAGTCTATTAATAGTGAAAAAATATGTGATTTATTAACATGCCATAAAAATATGAATCAAATGAATAAATTATATTTTAAATAATAAGACAGTGATATTTACTATCACAAATTTTTCTCAAATGCTTATATTTATATTAATAATGTGTTAGGCTTTGGTTGATTAACTTTTGCATTATTTTAAAGTTATAAAATATTTGTATAGTTTTGTTTTTAGTTTATGTTGACTATTTATTATGTACACAATGTACAATAATAATTATTTAAGGCTTACTTTGTTTTTCGTTTAATATGGTTACTCATCTAGTCGAGTCATGAATTATATGAATTTGGTATTAATTATTTATTATTATTTATACTGATGTTTTGTGTACATACTTATTCAAAATAAAAGTATATTTTTCTAGAGATTTTTAAATCAAATATTTAATTAACTTTAAATAGTAATTCTTTATTATTATGTTTAAAAATTGCATAACTATGCTTTATAATGTATAGAGCGTAAATTTGTTTAAAATTGGAAAACATCATTTAAATGTAATGTTTTGTTTACCTATCCTTTACAGACCGAAAACATTTTTTTAATTGTTTAATCAATTTGATTAAACATTCCTACATATACCTAATGTATTATTAAAAAATAAACATGATAAAACATAACCTTTAAAATCATATGAGATCGTTCTGAACAAAATAGAAAAAATAATAATGAAAAAAAAAAGCCGAATCTCCCAATTGTGTCTTGTCGGTCTGTAAGGGCTAATAGAGAATAGTTGAACAATTTTTATTATATTTCTTGAGAAAATATTTTTGCTTTTTATTATTAAAATAACTAATTATAATTGTCAAATATTCATGTTTTAAAAAAAAATATCAAATTACATTATTCATAAATGTATAAAAAAAAAAAAATTTTATTTGTGTATTCATGTGGTACAAATCTTAATTGAGCAATTATTGGAGTAGAATATAATATGTGATTAGTATGAATCAAAATATAAGATTTTTCATTATTTCCTTTAAACCTAATTCTGCCATTTGCTGATGATATCTGCTCTGTTTTTAGACTCATATCTCTAAAATAAATGAATTGCAAATTCATAACATTTAAATTTTTTAATCGTTTTATTCTTAGTTTCAAACTGTTGGACCATCATTTACTATATTAAGGTGGTTAAACTGATTGAAAAATATCGTTTTTAATCCTTAGGCTGTGATTAAATTGTGAGACTGCCTGATTCGATTTCAATTCTGTAAAAATCTTAAAATTTCATTACACTTTTTCTAGATCTTGATCCAGGGGTTTTTCGAATTACAAATTTCTACCTTATAGATATACACAAGTAAAAATGTATAAATTTTGTTTTTATCGTACCGAAGTCATGCATTCATATTTCGGAAAACGCCTCAATTAAGATCTTGAATACCTACAACTAAAATATCTGTATTAACATGGTATAAAAGAGTAGGGGTGATTTACAGATTATTTTAAGTTTTGATAGGATATTTTACCTTAGTTGCGCCTAAGTACAAAGGTATTATTTAATCATGCGATCGTCGAGGTGAACCCTAATTTTAAATAGGTAATAGAACCTACTATAAATACTTATACTTATTATAACTATCTTATTCCGTCCCAATTTCTTTTATTATTTTCATTTTTGATGCTAAAATAATAAAAAATTGTAATGATAAAAGTTAGAGTTACAAAAGAAACTATCGAACATTTCAAAAACTAGGTATATTTTACACCACATCTATCTATAGGCAAAAATCTGAAAACCGTAAATATTTATTCGGAACCCTGGGTAATATTTAATACTCACACAGTTGAATGCAGGCGAACGTAGCGGAAAATTCAAATTTTCACAAAGCTATCCAATAATTTCATAACTACTACACGCACTTATTTGCATAAAAATCACGATTACGAAACAGTGTGAACTAAACAACTGAAGATCCATGAATAAAATTTTCTTTGAATTATCAAAGCATCACGTACTTTTTTAAAGGGATGTAATAAACAATATTGAACTTAATATATATATATATATATATATGTAATAGAATTCATTCACGCTAATTTAAGTCATAAACAATCCATGCACAAAATATCATTCAAAGAAATGGAATTTCCTAATTCGTCACAGAATAAGTAATGAAAAATTTCGTTCACTTTTCATTCGGTCCAAATTTATAGTTGCGTTAAAAATATGAAATGGTTCAAATATTTACAAAATATATATTATTATTTAGTGTGAAATTTTGCCCCCCATCACTACGCCACTGCTTGGTATTATTATCTGTGGGGCTATATTTTAGGACTAGAAAAATGTATTCAAAAAACTCCGTATCTTTAGTTTGAATTAAAGCGAAAGAGAACATCTCCTAAAAAAAACAATTTATAGGTGTCTCATTTACCTGACATCTTATTTTACAATACATAAAAAATATTTTCTTTCAACAATTAATTGTTTTTTTGCCCAAATTTTCAAAACACTATCAACTAAGCGACAAAACATTGTCACTGGTCGACATTTGTGTCGTCTAATTCAGTGGTTCTCAACCTTTTTTGTACAACGACACCCAAATTTTGATCCATAAAAATGGTGACACTCTTAATACAAGGAATGCATTTTTAAAAAAGTAAAACTTACAAACCTTAATAAATTAATACATTTATATGTAAGCATTTAAAAAAAAAAAAAAAAAAAACGAACATTTTAAATTTACTTAAATTAAACGGTAAAAGGAAGTATTAATAAAAAAGTATTATAAACAACAGTATTAGTATATAAAAGAAATTAATGCGATACTTGTGATTGTCGAACTGAACATAAGTCTTCGATTCGTGGGCGAATGGTTGACAAAATTACGCGTAATTCACTTTCAATATCTTTAAGTGTAGACCTTTTTTTTGTTTTCATTATTTCTGTCGAAAACGATGATTTACACATGTAGGATATTGAGAATGGAAGCAATATTTGCAATGCTTTTTTGCTTACTCCGGCGTATTCGTTTTGCAAAGAAACCCAAAATTAATCATTTTCAGACGTATAAAATTTAGATTTTAAGGTTGTATTTGATGATATTTCTAACAAATGTTCTTTTTCCGTAGAAGTTAAATTTGCATTTTTAATATTTTCTTCTCCACATGGACCATATAATGAAACTACCCACTGTATTTCAATCGTTAAAAGTGATGGAAAATAACTCTTTAACTTTCGAAAAAGTGTCAACAAATGTTCGCTTATTATATTTTTCAATTCCATTTTTGATGATTCATTCTTAAATGCATTATTGATTATTCGACTGAAGAAAAGCATGAAAGATCATCTTTTTTTATGGATGATAATCATAAATTAATTTTTTAAACCAAAACTAAACATAGGTAATTAAAAGAAATAATTAATATTTCATGAACATTTTTACGTATAATTAATGTATTAATTTATTTAGAATACAATTCACTAACCACTGTATAGTATATTACTATATTAGTAGCCATATTCTATTTTTTATACATATAGTACTTACCTCATATGTTTCCGTCCTTTTATCTTTTGATAAGTTGTTACACTCTTTTTTTTATTTGAATATTTTTATTTTTTTGTTTGCCATATCTTGTATTATTTGCGACAAAATAAAAAAACACACAATTCGTCATATAATACGTAATATTGGATTGTGAATAAGAGTCGATCGTAGAAAGTAAGAGACTTCATCAATTATTGTGAACTCCAGTTGATAATAATAATAATAATAATAATAATAATAAACATAATTCATAAAAGTAATTCTATAAAACGATAACGCATGAACTAATAAGACGTATAACATACAAATAGATACACATCCGATAACGCATAGCCAGTGTAATTATCTAATTTTATCTTATTATAGCTCACGCACACTAATATCGATTTACACACTCACATTTATGCACGGTTGGTGCGCCGCCGATACAACATGTGAATTTAATTGCCTAAATTTTACTCCTTAATAAATTACCAGCACCGAACCCCTTAACGGCTCTATAAGTTACAAATTGTTGGATCTGTATACTACAGACCCGATTTTGGTTCAGTAACTTACAGATATATTAATGATAACCGATATTATCAATTACAAATTTTATCCGCAACATTTATATAATTCATTTTATTTCTTTTTAAATTATAATAATTTTAAACATTTAATAATAGAATCTTCTACGTCATCTTCGTCCAGCGATGATGATTTTGTTAAACAAATCGTTAAATTTTTTCTTAGACCACGAGTTTTTTCATGATAGATCAAATCCCTTAATGGATCACGGTTTATTCATAGGATTATGTATTATGATGTATTATGTTTATTATAATATTATAATTTTAAATTTATAAAATATGTTTATTTGGTATCAATAAGTTAATATTATTTTCATTATCACTATTTATTA